GCAGATCACGAGGTCAGGAGATCGAGACCATCCTGACTAACACAGTGAAACCCTGTCTCTACTAAAAATACAAAAAATTAGCCGAGCTTGGTGGCAGGCGCCTGTAGTCCCAGCTACTCGAGAGGCTGAGGCAGGAGAATGGCGTGAACCCGGGAGGCAGAGCTTGCAGTGAGCCGAAATCCGCCACTGCACTCCAGCCTGGGTGACAGAGCGAGACTCCATCTCCAAAAAAAAATAAAAAGTAAAAAATAAAAAAATAAAAAAATAAAAAAAAAAGATTTTCTCTTTACCATTTATTTTAAGCAGTTTGATTAGGTTGTACCTTGCTATAGTTTTCTTTCTTTCTTTCTTTCTTTCTTTCTTTCTTTCTTTCTTTCTTTCTTTCTTTCTTTCTTTCTTTTCTCTCTTTCTTTTCTCTCTTTCTTTCTCTCTTTCTTTCTCTTTCTTTCTTTCTTTCTTTCTTTCTTTCTTTCTTTCTTTCTTTCTTTCTTTCTTTCTTTCCCTCTTTCCCTCTTTCCCTCTTTCCCTCTTTCCCTCTTTCCCTCTTTCTCTCTTTCTCTCTTTCTTTCTTTCTTGACAGACTCTTTCTCTGTCACCCAGGCTGGAGTACAGTGGCATGATCTCAGCTCACTGCAACCTCCACCTCCGAGGTTCAGGTGATTCTCGTGCCTCAGCCTCCAGAGTAGCTGGGATTACAGACATGCGCCACTGCACCCGGCTAAGTTTTGTATTTTTAGTAGAGATGAGGTTTCACCATGTTGGCCAGGCTGGTCTCAAACTCCTGACCTCAGGTGATCCTCTTGCCTCAACCTTCCAAAGTGCTGCGATTACAGGTGTGAGCCACCATGCCTGGCCTTCTTTGTCTCTTTTGCTTAGATTTCATTGAGCTTTTTGGATCTGTAGATATATAGTTTTCTTGAAGCTTGGAATATTTTCTGTCCTCCTTCAAATATTTTTTTCTGTCCTCCTTCAGTGATTCCAGTTACACATTTATTAGGCTGTGTGAAGTTTTTCCACAATTCATTAATACTGTTTACTTTTTTAAAACTTTATTTTGAGATAATTGTAGATTCACATGCAGTTAGAAATAATCCAGAGAGGTCTTATGCCCATTCCCCAATTCCCCCCATGGTAACATCTTGTATAACTATAGTTCAGTATCATAACCACTTTCATTTTTTTATCTCTTTTCTATTTCATTTTTGATAGTTTTTATTGCTATTTCATGAAGTTTATTAATCTTCTACAGTGTCTAAACTGCTATATATTTCATCTCAGACATTGTAGTTTTTATTTCTAGAAGTTTGATCTGCATCTTTTTTTTGAGACTGTCTTGCTCTGTTGCTTAGGCTGGAGTGCAGTGGCACAATCACAGCTCACTGCAACTTCTACCTCCTGGGCTCAAGAGATCCACCCACCTCAGCCTCCCGAATGGTGGAACTGCAGGTGCATGCCACCATGCCTGGCTAATTAAAAAAAGTTATTTTTAGAGAGATGAGGACTCACTATGTTGCCCAGGCTGGCCTTAAACACCTGGGCTCAAGCAATCCTCTTGCCTTGGCCTCCTAAAGTACTGGGATTACAGGCATGAGCCACTGTACCCAGCCAAGATTTGCATGTTTTTAAAAGAGCTTCCTTGCCTCTACTTATTATGTGCAGTCTTTTCTCTAGCTTCTTGAACATATTGAATATAATTGTAATAACTTTTAATGCTTTTGTCTACTAATTTTGTCATCAGTATCGTTTCTGGGTTTCTTTTAGTTGATTTTTTTTTTTTATCATGGTTCATATTTTTCTGCCTTGCAAGCCTGGTAGTTTTTAATTAGATGGTAGATATTATGAATTTTATTTCATTGGGTGCTAGATATTTTTTATTCTTATAGATGTGCTTGATTCTTGTTCTTGGATCCAGTTACTTAGAAATTGCTTGATCTTTTTGGGTCTAGCTTTATTATTAGGCTTTATTAAAAATGCATGTTTTGTTTTAAAAAGAGAAAAAGCCAGGTGTTATAAACAGTGCAACATTTTTTGTAACAGCAAAAATCTGTAACCATTCTAAATATGTATCAGTGACTCTGATTATACTTTAGTAAGTCTGAACAGTGGAACGCTCTTAAAATGGACCCTTATGATTTATTTACTGGTCCTACCAACCTTCCAATTTCAGAGTTGCTTCAGAAATATACTGCCTGACATCTAACTTTTGTTTAAAAAAGATTAAGTCTTATGAGGTTCTCCATGCATTGTTGTATTTGTAGTTCTTTCTCTTACTGAGCTGAAATGTAATAAGGGGAGAACAGTAGACAATGAGGGTAGTGAGGTAATGGGAGACAAGATGTTAAGTGTAAGGCTTTAACTTTCTCTCTTAGTGAGGAGGGAAGCTACTGGAAGGTTATGAGCAGAAGTGTACCTTGATCTTACATTTTAGAGCGCAGGGGTCAGCGAAATTTTTCTGAAAAGAGCCCATATGGTAAATATTGTAGGCTTTATGGGTCACACAGTCTCCGTTGCAACTTGATTTACAAAGAGATGTCTGGCAGGATTTGGCTCCCAGGCTGCGGTTTGTCGTCCCCTGTTTTAGGATTGTATGGTGTGCTATATTGAGAATAGATTCTAGGGGGCAAAAGTGGAGGTAAGGAGTCCAGATGAGGAGCTGTAACAGTAACCTACATCAGAGATCATGGTATACACCCAGCAGATAGAAAGTGAATACACAGAGCAAAGAGGTTCTAGGACTGAGTCTTGGGACAACCTAACATTCAAAAGTCAGAAAGAGGAAGCAAAATTGTCTGATAAGGAATGGCCAGTGATATATGAGGAAAACCAAGAGAGAATGGTATTCCAGAGCAGAAAGATGTCAAGAAGGAGAGTACAATAGCAGAATAACAAATAACCTGATAAAACATGGGCAAAAGACCTGAACAGACATTTCCCCAAGGAAGGCATGGAAATGGCCACCAGAGGTATATGATGCTTAGCATCACCAGTGATCAGGGAAATGCAAATTAAAACCACAATGAGATATCACCTGACACCTGTTAGAATGGCTGTTATCAAAAAGAAAGATAATTGTTGATGAGGGTGTGGAGAAAAAGGAACCCTAGTACACTGTTGGCGGGAATGTAAATTGCTACAACCATTATGGAAAACAGTATGGAGGTTCCTAAAGAAATTAAAATTAGAACTACCATGCAACCCAGCAATTCCTCTTCTGAGTATAAATCCCAAGGAAATGAAATCACCACCTCATAAAGATACCTGCCCTCTCATGTTCAGTGCAGCATTAGTTTACGGTAGCCAAGATAAGGAAACATCCTAAGTGTCCATCAATGGATGAATGGATAGAGAAAATGTGTATACAATGGGATACTATTTAGCCTTAAAAAAGGAGATTGTGCTGTTTGCCATAGCATAGATTTGGGAGGACATTATGCTAAGTGAAATAAGACACAGAAAGACAAAATACTGCACGATCTCATATGTGTGGGGAAAAAGTCATATATACAGACAGTGCTATAATGTAATAAATATAAATATAAAGAAATAAAACTGGTTACCAGGGATAGGATGGGAGGAAATGGGAAGATGTAGGTCAAAGGATACAAAGTAGCAAATATGTAAGAGGAGCAAGTCTAGAGATCCAATGTACAGCATGAGGACTGCAGCTAATACAATTTTATTGTATTCTTTTTTTTTAAGAAGGGGAGAGTAATCGACTGTCCCTTTTCTCTGCTCTCCTGTACAGCAAAACTACTTTGAGGCCATCTCTTTTGTCCTGTGTCCATATTCTCTCACACCTACTCCATTCAGGCAATTGTATTGCCTTAGGGATTTCCATGAAATAAGTGGATTTTAGCTGCTCTTACCACAAAAAAGTAACTGTGAGATGATAGATATATTAATCTGCTTCATTATAGTAACCACTTTACTTGTCTATATGTATCCCATAACATCATGTTGTAAACCTCAAATATACACAATAAAATTTCTTTTTTTTAAGAAGGGGAGAGTAATTGACTGTGTCAAAAGCTGTTGTAGGTCAGATGAGATTAAAGCTGAGAAGTGAACACTAGCATTTGGTGAGGTCAAGATCAGTGGTAACCTTGATAGGAATGGTTTCATTGAAGTCATGGGACAAAAGCCTGAATGGAGGAGGTGTGAGAGAATATGGACACAGGACAAAAGAGATGGCCTCAAAGTAGTTTTGCTGTACAGGAGAGCAGAGAAAAGGGAAGGTGGCTGGATAATTGGAGTCTAGGGAGGATTTTTTCAACAATGGTTAATGATTACAGCTGATACGTGTTCAGCAATGAACACAACAAATCTCTGCCTTCATGAAGCTATGTATCGGGTGGGGGCAGGAAGATAGACAATAATAAAGAAACGCATAATTATATTAAACTGGCTACGAGATGTTGCCACTCAGATATCATGTGGACATTTTGCATTCAACACATTCAAAATGACATTATCTCTTCCCCTCCCTTCCCCCACCTTTTCCTCTCTCTTCCTTGTTTTTATATTGTAAAAAATGCCACATTCAGGACAGAATCTTGTGACTTATCCCTTGCAACTGTCCTGTCCTCAAACTCAGGTGTGTTTTATTTTTTTCTTCACAAACAGTTCTCAGGTCTCCTCCCTCCTTGCAATCTCTACCTCGGCCCATGGCATTCATTTCTCTTCTGGATTGCTACTTTACCCTCTTAACTAGAGTCTCTGACTTCATCCTCCCCGTTTAATCATTTCTCCACAATGTAGCCAGAGTCGTCTTTTAAAAATATAACCTGAGAGTTTTAAGGGACTTACTCAAGACCACAACATTCATAGAGCCAAGATTTGATTTCCTTATGGCATGCTCCTCTTGGGGCTGGGCTTTATGTAGGGGATAGGAAGGAGCTAGATCATCTTAAGCTACATAAGATATGAACATTGCCAGAAATGCATTGTTTATGCAAAACTGACAGCTCATCAATTTGTCTGATGTTGATTTGTTTTTGTAGGTGCACGGGTTTCATATTCCAGAAGGTTGGAAAGTTGGCTGCAACAGCTGTGGGAGGTGGATTTTTTCTCCTTCAGGTCTGTATGTGAAATGTTCTCAGATGTTTGGAAATTCCACCTGCCCATTAAGGAATGTGGTGTGGGGAGTTGTAATACAGTCCTGGCTGTGTACTATTTTAAATGCTAGTGACCGTTTGAGTCAGATTTTATCCATTGTACTAGTAAATGTTATTTACCCAGTCACATTTTATTTCCTCATGTGGGGACAGAAGTGCAAATTCCTTATCATAGCTCCCTTGAAAGAGTTTTTAAGACCAGCTCAAATATTAAGCAGATGTGATTTCAAAAATATAAGTGTGCTGTGATGATTTAGTCTCATATGCTAATATAGCTAGCTTTTACAGAGGGGACGTGGAGCATGTGATGAGAAATGGGAGCTAAGTGACAGTACACTCAGATGTTGTCTGCTGTCTCCTTGACCCATAGTTTCAGAACCAGTGGTTGCCAGTTCTTTTGAGACTGCTTAGGAGAGACTTACAAGCAAGACTTGAAAAAGAAAAGGGGTGCAGTTTCTCCAAAAACAAAAGAAAACTGACGTTTGTATTAAGCATACATTTCTTAGCTCTGCGGCATTGATATTCAAACCTGGCTCCGCATTGGAATCACCTAGGAGTTTTTAAAAGAGCCAACCTGTGCCACCCCTGACCCACAGTGTGATTTCATTGGAAAACTTAAAACTCCTGACATGATTCTGTCATGCAGCGGTGCATAGAGCTGCTGTGTTGTGGGAGCCATAACTTGCTGAATCATGCCAGAGTCTCTGAATTCACAGCCCTTTGTCTCTTCCCACAGTTGGCAACCCTCACTTTTGCAAGGTAAGTTCTGCATTAGCACCATGATTGGAGTGAGTTTTGCAGATAGGTCAGGTGAAAATCAAATGTATTGAAGAGGGAAGCTGGTAATTGGCTGTATCTGGGTTGAGTGTGGTATTGCTGCATGACAAATTCCCCCAAACCTAATGGCTTCAAATAATGATCACTTTATTCTCTCTCATGGTTACAGGAGTTTGGGGAGGGTTAAGGTAGGGGCTTGTGGATCAGAGTCTCATGTGGTTACAGGCCAGATGATCAGAGGATTGGGGTAGGTCTGGACTTGTGGGGCCTCTTTGTCTCTCTGTCTCTGTTTGTCTTCCCTCCTCCTCTCCTTACTTCCCCCATGTCCATAGTCTCAGTGCTCTTCCATGTGGTCCCTGTGCCGGCATAGGCTTCCTCACACCACCTTGACCTCAGGACTCCCAAGCACAGTGCTCCAGAAACGTGGTGCAAATTGCATCTCCTTTGTTGCCCAAGCCTCAAAAGTCATGTAGCCTCACTTTTGTTGGCTGCTTCCCTGTAGGCTTGTTATGTGCTGGCTCTGTTGCAGGACAGGTCAGACGCCCTGTAAGGTGGGGCCTCTCCTTACACCTCCCTCTCCTTCCCCTTGACCCTTCAGGTGGAAGTGCAGTAACATCTCTATCCCTGTTGTTTCCCTTATATGCTGCCCCAAACTTCATAAACATCTTAATATTGCTTTGAAATGTCTTAATTTGAGTGTGTCCTCTCTTTCTTTTTGGGGCCCTGACAGAAATAATTGGTATTGAAAGTGTCTCCAGAAAGGCACCTCAAAATGAGATTTTGGTGTTGGATAATTCCAATATTCAAGGGGTACAGGGACACTGCTTTGCTGCAGAGGTGAAACGTGGAGAATTGGTGGCAGGCACTCATGTTATCTGTCACCAGAGGAGTGAGAGCAGGAGGCAAGCATAATGTTGGGAGATCAGTTATATCACGAGTTATAGTTTGACATAGGGATACAGTTTCCTTTTTTCCATACTGATAATTGAGCAGAATTTAGTGAATAATTCTTCCCATTCCCAACATTTGCAGCATTGTCTCTTTCATATATCAAAATCCATGTATGTGTGGCTGTGACTCTGGTTTCTGTGTTCTATTCCACTAGTCAACTTTCTATCTTTATGACAGTACTAAAGCTTAATATTTGGTAATGCAAATTTTTCCACCTTATTCTTCAGGAGTGTTGCAGCTACTTTTGTGTTCCTGCTTGTTCATCTAAATTTTAGATCAGACTTGTCAGTTATTTTCAAAAATCGTGTTGAAATTTTTATCGGAATTGCATTGGAACCATGTAGATATCTCTTATGATATTGAGTATTCTATCTGTGAACATGGGTTTTCTCTCCAATTATTTAGGTTTTCTTTAATGCCTTTGAATAGACTTTTATTATTTTTCCATATAGATCTTGTACATCTGTGATTCAGTTTTATTACTGGATACCTTATAACTTTAGTTGCTCTTGTGGATGATACAATTTTTAAAACTACACATTCTGATTCATGCTAATGTGTTGAAATACAGTTGATATTTTATGATGTTGTTTCAGCCAGCCACCTTGTTAAAAAAGTCTCTTATTTCTGACTTGTCTGGGATTCTTTTGGGTTTTGTCTATAAAATCTTTTTATGCCATCTGTGAACAGTGAAATTTTTCCTTCACGTCTTTATGAATATAGTTGCTTTTTCTTACCAAGCTGTAGATCATTTCCAGCACTTTTTGCAGCTTTCAGAGCCCAGCAACAACGCTTGCCAGTTGTCAGTTTATTCGGCTCCCTCTACTTGTTGTGCTGCAATGGAAGTAGGATGTTGAGCTTTGTCAGTAGAGGACGCTGGAGGGACCTTGCAGCGGGAGAGGCTGCTTTTCCCAGTTCTGGTGTTGCTTTGCCCCTGCAGTGCAGTCCCCCAGTAATGCCAAGGAGAGCAGGAAGTCACCTTGCAGTCCTGGTCTGGGCCACCCAGGGGACTTCACCACCACCATTACTACTTTTGCACCCTTGTAAAAAATCAGTTGTAGTTGTCCAAGTCTGCTTCTGTACTTTTTATTCTGTTCGTTGGTCTGTGTCTGTCTTCTTCAGTATCACATGCTGTCTTGACTGCTGTAGCATTATAGTAAATCTTAAATCAGGTAGTGTGATTCCCCCAACTCTGTGCTTTTTCAGAATCATTTTGGTGATTCCAGTTCCTTTGCCTTTCCATATAAATTTTAGAACCAGCTTATTTATGTATCTATAAGAAATCCTGCTGGGATCTATAGACAATTTGGAGAGAATTGGGCATCTCATTTCTGTGTTGAGCATTCCATTCCATGTACATGTCGTCTCTCCATTTATTTAGGTTGTCTTTGAGTTCTTTCTTCAGCGTTTTGTAGTTCTCAGTATACAGATCCTGTATGTTTTATTTGATTTGTACCCAATATTTAATTATTTTTAGCACCTATTGTTGTAAATCATTTAAACATTTTTCATTTCCAGTTCAAATTGCTAGCATTTAGAAATTCAGTTGGTTTTGTGTGAATTTGTATCCTGTGACCCTGCTAAACTCACTTTTTTAGTCTAGGAGTTTTTGTTTTTTTGTTGAAGTCTATGAAATTTTCTATGTAGACAAAGATGTCTATGATTGGAGACAGTTTGACCTCTTCCTTGTCAATCAGGATGCCTCCTCATTCTTTTTCTTGCCATGTTGTGCTGACTCTGAGTTCACTGCAGGGTTTTTTTTGGTAGATGTTCTTTATCAAATTGAGGAAGTTCCCCTCTAATCCTCTTTCTCTGAGAGTTTTATCATGAATTTGCGTTGAATTTCGTCAGATGTTTCTTGAGTCCTGCCTTGAGGTTAAGCCAGGCGATACTGCAGGAAAAGCAGGAAACACGCCACCAGTTTGGTGGTGCTTTGGTTTTCTGGTCTTTTCCAATCTGCATGCTGCTGTTTTTATGTAAGAGCCTTCAAATAGCTAGTCCATGTATTCTCTCAGTTTAATAGCAGGATTTTGTGGGATAAACAGAGTAAATGAACCAGAACCACCTTTTAGATACAAACATTGATACTCAACTATGTGGTTGCTATAAGTAATTTGTTCTTTTTAGTACTAAGTAATATTCTATTGTGTAAACATGATACAATTTGTTTATCCATTCATGTATTGATAGACTTTTGTGAATTTCTAGTTATAAACTCATAAGTAGAGCTACTATGGCTTGATTACTTGTGAGGTTGAACTTTTTCCTTTTTGTGGACACCTTCCTCTGTGAATTGCCCTTACCCATTTTTAAAGTGAATTTTCTTTCTTACTGATCTCTATAAGAAGTTCACTTTTTTTGAGTCTCAATGTTTTGTTTATGATACACATCACAAGTATTTTCTGTAGTCTGTTTGGGTGACTGGTAGTGCCATTAGCTAAAATAGGGACTAGAGGAAGAGCAACAATGCAGGAGGAGACTCTAGCAAAGTGACGACTTTTAGTTTGGGATATTTTGAGATATCCAGGTAGAGAGAAGTGATATTGATAGGCCATTGATTGGTCGGCTATAGTCATTCTCTTCATTCCTTGGATGATATTAATCCGTCATCAAAAAACTACATGCTTGAATCAGATTTACACTGAGTTTTAGTGTTTCTGCCTGCTGTTTTTTTTATCAAGGGAAATAGGTATATGCTGTAGGTGTCTTTGGATGTGCTTCTCTTAATACCCGTTTATATGAAGTTGCCCATGAGAAATCTCTGTGGGGCTGGATGCTATATTTCTTCCTGTTAAGCAACAGTAATTACTGCCGGAATGTTTTATTCTGTTCACGTTGTCAGGAAACTGACACTCATGGGCACATTGTCAGGGTCATTCTCTGGAAACATTTGTATTGGCTGTAAGGTCCATCTCTTCACCCTACATCTTGATCCCCCACCTTGATTTTCATCTTACATAACTCTTTGTAAAAGGGTTGTAAGAGTATAAATAAAAGAATTGCCAGTAGTTATTTCTAGTGCCAGGCATATGGCTTCACATATTGGGGGGATGCTGAGTAGATGTCATCATGATACAAATAATCAAATGGCAGATGTCTCCAAAAATGGAAAGTCAGAGGGTTTCGAGAGTCTACTTCAGGATTTATCCTGATGAAAAGAAATAACAAATCTGTTTCTCATTTCTTGTTGTCATTATTGTTGATACTGTAGCTTGCAAACCATACTGGGTACATCAAAGTTGACTGGCAACGAGTGGAGAAGGACATGAAGAAAGCCAAAGAGCAGCTGAAGATCCGTAAGAGCAATCAGATGCCTACTGAGGTCAGGAGCAAAGCTGAGGAGGTGAGACTCGCATTGTTCATGTGTAGTGTGTGAACAGTGCAGACAGTTTTGTGTGTACAAAAACAAAGCTTAACCCTGTTGCACCATATCTCAGTGATGGATAGGGCTTAAGCATTACAAAGAACTTAGAGTAATGAGACAAAACTAACTTGGAATATCATCACTTCAGAGCATTTTTAAAAGCTGGATAATTAAAGTGTTTGGTAACCTTTGTGTACATTTGTGGAGTGATTATCCCTTTAACCAGTTCTTGTAGGAATGTAGGGCAGCATAGTATGATTTTGTCCCCATACACACGTGTCTCTGAAACATTTATACTCCGCTTGTTCTGCATATAACTAGTGGAAATGTCACAAGTATTCAGCTCCACTGTATATCATGAAAATAGCCATAGATGATATGTTAAATAAGTGGATGTGGCTGTGTTGCAATAAAACTTTATCTAAAAAGAGGTTCATATTGGATTTGGCCCATGGGCTGTAGTTTGCTAACCCCTGATCTTGTTCATTAAAGCCAAGTTAGATTATAACCTGGCACTGTAGGGACAGGAGAAGTTCTTACTTTTTAAAAGGATATTTTTTGCTGCTTCGTTATTACCTTTAGAAATATGTCAGATGTCCTAAATAAATAAGTACACTGAACTGGGGAGAAATAAGCCAGGATCAGGGTGTCAAGAAGATAGCTGGTACTTTCTATAGCCTGGAGTGATGAGAGATTCTCCCATTATCTCACTGTAGCCTCACAGGGAAAACAGACAGATTGAGTGCAGGGCAGAAGAAATGCCCTGTGTGTGCCTCAGGCTTCTCATGTTGTGAGTGGCTCTTCATCCTGGTGATTGGCAAGTGGCTGGTCAAAGCTGGTGCCTTACCCAGAGTGGGAGGGTGACAGAGGTGGGTATCTACAGGAGCCCAGAGCCCAGATGGTTCCTCTTTCCTTTCTTCCTTCTGTCTCTCCTCAAAGTTATGAAAGTTATACTTTATTTCATGAAAACTTTATTATTCAAATGTTTATAAAAATAATACATGGCTGGGCACAGTGACTCACCACAGTGAGTAAAAAAAAAATTTTTTAAGAGAGGTCTCACTCTGTCACCCAGGCTGGAGTGCAGTGGCACAGTCATGGCTCACTGTAGCCTCAACCAAGCGATCCTCTGACCTCAGCCTTCTGAGTAGCTGGGTCTATAGGTGTGTACCACCACACCCGGTGAAGTTTTAAATTTTTTGGAGAGACAGGGTCTCCCTGTGTTGTCCTGGCTGGTCTCAAACTTCTGGGCTCAAGCAGTATTCCCACCTCGGCCTCCCAAAGTGCATTACAGGTGTGAGCCACGGCGCCGTGCTGAAAACTTCTAAAATAATACTGGAAGTGTATATAATAAAAAGTATAAAGTTAATATTTGATTGGAACCAACTGTTGACTCACAGAGGGAGTTTGTTATAAAGTAACCAGATGATTTGGAATTTCACAAATTTGTGTGTTCCTGTTCCTGGCCTGGCACTGTCACAGGCCCTGGGGATGTAGTGGCTGGTTTTCTTACTCATAGAGCTGGTGGTCTGATTTGAGAAATAGGATGAAGATTTAGTTCAGTATTTAGCAACAAGATGACTTCAGTGAGAACAGCTTAGTGGGGTGGTGCAGTTGAAAGCCAAATTAGCAAGGTTGAAGAAAGAGTAGTAAAAATAATAAACTAAACCAATTTTTTCAGGAAGTTGTATGATTTTTTTTCTTTACCCCAATGGCAGATGACAAAAGTGCTTCATTTAAGGAAATGTAGAGGTCCAGGAGAGTTGGGGGAAGAGTGGAAATGAGGCAGGAAGACATAGGCATAGTTGGAGTAAGGGCTTACTGGAGGGTTAGGAGACAGTGGTCCTAGGAGGATGGGGTGGTAGTGTGAAAAATGTTAGGGGAATGTCAGGGTGTGAGTAGCTTAGTTGGTTTGGAGATGAAGTCACTGTATTTGAGTTCAAGAAATGATCAGGCCAGGATGTTGGATGTCTTGTTCATATGAACACTTTCTAAGGTGGTGATCATACTTAGGAGAAAGAGGAAGTCTGAGCCAGTTACCAAAATTGTCTCTGAATTTGGAAGGGTGGGGAGTGGTCAGGAGATTGGTAGAAGACAGACTAAGGAGCCGTAAAGAGTGTCTGAATGTATGCACTGAGTCTCAGATGACTGGGAGCTTTTCCAGAAGGGTAGAGGGGAGGTGGGAAGCTTTGGGAACTTAAGGAAATAAGAACCTCACCTGTTAATCATCTTAGATGTGGTGAAGTGTGAGAATGAGAATTTATAGCATCTACCTGGGAGCAGGCATAGGTATAATAGAGATGATTCTTAATATTATTAACATCCTTAGCAAAACAACCCATTGTACTATCTTCTGTTTTCAGGTGGTGTCATTTGTGAAGAAGAATGTTCTAGTGACTGGGGGATTTTTCGGAGGCTTTCTGCTTGGCATGGCATCCTAAGGAAGATGACTTCATGTTCATTGTTCCTGTTTTTTTCCAGCCAGCAACCTCTACACTCCATCATAGGACATCGAGTCCCTCCTCCTCTTCTCCTTCCTCCCTGCCATGGCAAATCCGAGTGGCTTCTATAAGCGTCTGCTGGTACAAGTTAATGTGGCACCATGAGCCTGATGGTGGCAGAAGAGACAATAGTCCTTAGCTCTTCTCCCAGTACACCCCCTACTTGGTCAGTCTGTAGGTCAACAAGAAAGTTCCTTTACCCCCATGCAAGACACTTATGAGAACACGTTGCAAGATGGCTGACTGTGGAGGATGAGTAGATCCTGAAAGGTTGTCCCGAACTGTTGATTTGGAAAAGAAATAAGCACATAGATAACCTTATTGTGTGCTGCATGGAAAGGAACTGAATACATTTGCCTTTAAGCATGAAAGATTTTGGTATCTTGGTGTCTACTTTCTTTTTTAGTTGGCTTTACATTACAGAAAGAGCTATTTAAATCTGTTATAATTATGCCGACAAAATTGGCAGCATAATTATTATAATTGAAAAATCCGATGTTGTCCAGGAATGTTTTCTACCATACAGGATAATGTATCTCATGGCTGTTTCCAAAGGGTTTATTTATTGTAAAACGAGTGATTTAGGTGGGAAAGGGAAGATCTTGGATTTTTATTTCATAGAAAAGGTTTTAAGCTTTGAAATGTGAATGAAGTATTCTTATCAAAACATTAGGGGTGGCCATAACTCCTCTGTGCCACTTTTATTTTTTTTTTTTTTATCTAGTTAGTTTGAAATATAACATTTAAACCAGAATTTTAAAGAAGTAGCTTTCTAGGGATTCCGAATTAAGAAAGATACATATTGTATCTTTCTTGTGATACATGTGAAGTAAATTTCCGTCAAGTGTAATCTACCATCTCATGACGACCACAACCTCTAGAATTCTTTAAAAGCTTACACATGCACACACACGCACACACACACATGCATACACACAGAATCTTAGCATATTTTGCTGTAGTGGCATGTTACCATGTCTACAGTCCCAACCAGAATATCAGTCAGCTTTCAGAGGGTAAGACTTCTGTCTTCACCATTATACTCACAGGGCTTAGCACTTAATAGGTGCTGAGTATTTGTGGAATGTATGAATAATGACTTTATAGAAAGAAAACTCACTATTAAAGGTTAGTTTTACTCAGAATTAATCATTAATCTTGGAGATGATCTCTTGTGAAATATGAGTGTGTTTCTAAGGCCATACATTTAAAAATGTTTGCATTTTAACCCGTCTTGAGAATGATGTATTGAATTTGAAAATCAAAACTACCAGTGGATGTGTGGAACTTTACAGAAATCACCTATTTGTGTTTTTCTCCTTACATTTAAGGAAACATAAGCCATTTTGTTTGCAATATGTATGAATCATCTCAAAACCATTATGGTATGAGCCTCTTTGCTGTGTATTTTTCTATAAGAACTTTTTTTTTCACTTTTTATTATGGATGCTTTCAGGAATATATAAAAGTAGAGAATATAGTGCAATAATCTCCCCATGTATCTATCACTCACCTACAACAAAATTATAGCTATGCTCATTTTTACCAATTATTGTGAAACAAATATCAAAATGTCATTTGATCATATTTCAGTATGTATCTCTAAAAGGTAAAAATTATTTCTAAAAATCATAAATATAGTACCTCATCATATCAAACATTAACAGTAATTACATAATATCCAAAATCTGATCAGTGTTCAAAATTTCCTTGTCTCAAGTATTTTACATTTAGTTTGTTTGAATCAAAATTCATGCAAGGTTCACATTGTATTTGCATGATTTGAATAAGTCTCTTAACCTTATATATCCTCCTCTAAATTTTTGTTTGCTATATATTTATATCTATATATATTGATATGGATATATGTAGTGACACTGAGTCATCTGTTTCCTGCTTCCCCATACTCTGCCTCTCCTGACATCTGGGTCTCTTGGGTTATGCCATATATGGTGATAGTGACTGCAGCCACTTTAGCTGTGTGACTTACCCACAGCAATGGGATGGTAACAGCAAAGCTAACCAAAATGCTCTGTGCCCCTTTGGGTTGCATGTGGGGAGACTGGCCACCCAGTGCCTCTCCAGTGGGTGCATCTGTTTTTCCTGTGATTATTGGTGAGTACAGCAAAGATTAGCAGGTGGTTCTAAATTACCCTGAGTAGGTTGTAATAGTCTGGCCTCAGACTCTATCCTGATTGTCTGAATTAAGATCTGTAGGTAGGTCTCTCCTGAAGTTTTTTCCCAGCTGGTTGTCTCTAGGACTGTGAGGGTCATGGTTGAGGTCAGTATTGCAGGTTGGCCTCATCCTGCTAGTATGAGAATGGCTGTGAGTTCTGCCCACTATGTGAGTCCACAGCGCCCACTTGGGATTGTACAGAGCTGGCATGGAGGTTGAACACGCACAGCTGCACACCTTGTTTTCAGTTTAGCTGAACCATCAGTGAAGTAGGCTCAGGCATTTAGAGGTACCTGTGAATCAAGGCCCTATTGTGCCAGCATCTTTGTTTCAGGTGGTGAAGTGGGAGTTAAGGTTTCCCCCAAAAGAACAGCTACCACTCCTCCATGCAAAACCAAGATGATTCAAGGACCAGGCAGCTCCACCTTTCAGTGCACTATTTTCATTTGACTGGAGAGGCCTGCTGAGCTAGGCACGTATTTTCTCCAGTAGCAGAGTCCAATAACGTTCCTAATTAGTGGTGGTGGGGCAGAAGTTTTTCCTTGGGAAGAGCGTTGTCGCTGTGTATGGCCCAGAGAAACTTGACTTGGAATGTGTTCGGAGTTTCATCGCCCCCTTGTGGCGGCGACGTGGTGACACCGCACTCAAGGCTTCCAACTTGTCAACCAATAGGATGGCATCAGGGACCCCTTCTGTCCCCTTCCAGGCTACTGTGGGTCCGCCCTGCGTCCTCGCCACTTTGAGCCACCCTTTGACCCAGCGTCTCTCCTGCAATGGGACCTGGTGGGATGGGGACTTGGAGTATGCTACAGGAGAGGTAGAACGTTTGAGTCTCTTCTTTCCAAGGTTCTCCCCAGAGTTGGAGAGCAGAGACAGATCCAGGGGCACTTCCTGGCGGCTGCCTGCTCGGGCTCAACAGATGGAGTCCAATGTTTCAGTCTCCCCCAAGGATGTGTATCCTCATTGCTGACACGGGAGCTGGGTCGGGGGAGGGATGTGGTGGTGGGGACCCTTGCCTGAGCAGCCCATTGTCGTGTTACTGTCATTGTGATAATCTATTAGCATGACTCTCCTCCCAAATGGCCACTTGTTTGCTGCCATCTCCTGCCATTCAGCCTCCAGATATTCATTAACAGGACAGTGGGGTTCTTGACTCCCCCACCACTGGGATGACAGTCCTTGCTACTGGATCTGGGCAGTTACTGTCTCATGGATGCTGGCAGAAGACGATTCAAGTTGGAGGACCAGATTCTATAAGGAATGAACTCTTGCATAATTCTAGCCAACATACTCTTGGGGTGGGTGCTTCTGGTTTTGGAAAGCAGAGTTATTGTGTGGTTAACTATTGTAAGAATAGTCTCTCCATCATTCTTTCGTTTGATGGTTGCCAGAAAGATGGGCATAACTAATGGCTGGGCTCTTATTTGGAACAGTTTGGGAATCTGCTTGAAAAAAAAAATGGTACACTGATGGATTTGAAATTTCTGAGTATCATCAATGTTTCATGATGATGTCAATTTCTTCTCAGAGGGAAGCTCACAGCCAGTTTTGGACCCCAGATAAAAATTTGACTGCTGCCCTCTGCTCCCTCCACCAAATTATCAGCTTCATTTATCTGTCATGAAATCCAGTATGATTTCTCGGAAATCAGGCCCAGAACTAAAATACATTTTCTGCCCAATTCTCTAAGAGGTCACACTAACATTTGAGTAATTGGGCAGAAAACCTATTTTAGTTCTGAGCCTGATTTTTCTAGAAGTCATATGGTGTAGCTTATATTTCTGATGCTTGTATTCTTTTTAAGGGTCATGAATCGTAATACTTTTTAAAAAGAAAACTGTTGCACTTTTTCACATTTGTATAAAGCTTTAAAGTCAGCTTATTGACTTGTCAAAACTGTCTTTTTAAATTTTAAGATGGTAAGAAATGACATTATTGAGAGCAGTGGTTTTCATCCTTGCTTGCACTTGGCAATCACCTGTGAAATTTTAAAAACTACTAATGCCTGGCTCTCATCCTACAGATTCTGATTTCACTGGTCTGGGGTGCTGTTCAGGCATCCCAAGGTTTTAAAGTCTTAGCTTTTTCTAATGAGCAGCTGAGACTGAGAACCACTGAAGTACAGAGTTGGAAGCTGGTGCTGAAAAAATGAAGAGTTTTGCTTAACAGGGCTTTAAGGCCTTTTATATTAAGTGCCATACAACTTCAGATGCCTTCTGAACACTGAACACAAGTGTAATATTATAGTTCATTAAATGTCTTAGGAATCGTATGGAGTGAATGCAAGGAAAGGAGTTGTTGCACTGTGGCAAAGTGGAAGAGCAAGGGCTTTTTCTAGCTAAAAGGTCAGTCACTAACCAAGTGATTAAATGTAGCATCACTAATAGCCAACTTAACGGTTGTTTTTTTTTTTTGGGGGGGGGGCGGTTTCTAAACTGGGAGATCATAGTTTTCACCTTCCTAGAGTTCTTTCCTTAAGACTGACATTCAGTGTTAATGTTGGTCCCTAGCAATAAGAAGCACTCAGTAAATGTTAAGCCTTTTATAATGGCTATTTTATTTTTTTGTATATCATAATAGTAGCTAAGAATAATAAGAGTTAAATTAATGTCTTCAAATAGATTTGTTGACTTACACTGAGACAATCCTTTAAAGGAAAGAACTGATTTGAACCTTTCAAAACCGAAAGAAAGTAGTATACTGATACAGTTTGGATCCACTGAGTCTCATGTTGAACTGTGTTCCCTAATGGAGGTGCATCCTGGTCACAGGTGATTGGATCATGGGGGTGGGTTTCTCATGGATGGTTTAGCACCATCCCCTCTTGGTACTTTACTCATGATAGTGAGTTCTCATGAGATCTGGTCATTTAAAAGTGTGTGGCACTTCACCCCTCACTCTCTCTTGCTCCTGCTTTGGCCATGTGGAGTGCTCACTCCCCTTTTGCCTTCTGCCATGACTGTTAAGTTTCCTTGCACTTGCATCCCTAGAAGCCCATCAGATACCAGTGCAATGCTTCCTGTACAGCCCATGGAACTGTGAGCCAACTAAACCCCTTCTTTATAAATTATCCAGTCTCAGGCATTTTTTATAGCAATGCAACAATGGACTAATACATATACTTTAGCGTAAAAACATTTAAAAGAGTCTGAAACTGGAGTAGTTAACTCAGTAAAAATAAGCAATAAAACACAGAAAAACAATCTATTTGATCATGCAGTGATTCCTAAAGTAAATCCTAGTACCACTATCAACTGATAATTTTAAATGTAATTTAGATTTGTAGATGGTGTAACATTAAAGTTGTATAATGTTTTATTGTTTTATTATTAACACAAGACTTCATTTAAATTTCATGGGGATTTAGCTCTGTTACTCTGGTTTGTGAACCAAACGTCTCTAAGGCAGCATTTTTCTAAGTCTCTCTGGAGAGCATTCACACACACAGATGCAAAACAGGTTCACTTAGGCTTTTTGAAAGCTCTGAAGTCTGACAGGAAATTAACCTGTTTACTTGTATGCAACCTAGCATTCCCCAAACTTACCTGAACACAGAAGCTTTTTTTTTTCTTCTGGTTACAGCAATTCCTAGAAACACTCTGAGGAATGCTGCTTTAAGGAAAACAGTTGGTCTCAAATAATCATGGTATTTTAACATCAGGAACCTAGCAGAAATTGTTCCTGCTTTTAGTCATCTTTTTCTTTTTTAGAGGACGGACTTTGGTGGTTCAAGCATCCATTTGAGGAAAGCAAATGGCCTGTTGCATGCTGCCTCCTCCTACTTCATAAAGTGACTGACAACTGTCAATAGGCTTCATTCAGCAGCTTTGTATTAATATTGTCTGGATCCTCTGTAACAGGTTTTTATTATTACGATATGAAGAATAGATAAACCAACTAAGTTTGAATTATCTTGCTGCCTACCTGACTTCCAATGAAAATTTTTTCTTCAGTTCCTTCATGATAAATTAAGGATCATTAAACATTACAAGCATCATTTCTATGCCTTTCTTACCACTGACTGAATATTAAGCACTTCTGGTTAGTTGCTGGGGTGGGGATGCAAAAGCAGAAAGAAATGCTCTTACTGGCATCTGGAAAGACACTTTTTGCTCTGTATTTTTGGAAGTGCAAAAGGTAATGAGTTAGTTTAAAGGAAACTTTGAATTAATTTAGCATATAATCTATAAAAGGTATCAACATTGGCTCACACCTGTAATCCCAGCACTTTGGGAGGCCGAGGTGGGCAGATCATGAGGTCAGGAGTTCCAGACCAGCCTGACCAACATGGTGAAACCCCATCTACTAAAAACACAAAAATTAGCCAGGCGTGGTGGTGCATGCCTATAATCCCAGCTACTCGGGAGGCTGAGGCAGGAGAATGGCTTGAACCCGGTAGGCCGAGGTTGCGGTGGGCTGAGATCGCACCATTGCACTCTAGCCTGGGTGACAGAGTGAGACTCCATCTCAAGAAAAAAAAAGGCATCAAAATTGTGATGCTGGAAGTGAGTCCTTTCACCTAACATACCTCACAGGACTTAAGTTTGATGAATGGCACTAGTGGTCTGAACTTCAAGAGAATTCATTAATACCCTATATCTAATAGTCTTAAAATACATTTAGTACAAAACCAAACTTTTTCTCTTAAACAGGTTTATTTTAGCAGCTCAGTATATTACATTCTACATATTTGTCTTTTAATGTGTTTATATTTCTGCCTGTTCTGCATAGATGGCATATTCATTAACTTTTATAACTGACTTTTTCATTTGCTATTTGCTGCTACCTGACCTGAAGAAAGTCAGGAGGATAAAAAAAATTCATTTGGTGGAAACATGGAGCAGCACTTCAGCAGAACTTTACTTTGATGCAGACTTCAGTGTTAGGTTTTCTTCCTCTTCTTTTTCAAATCCTGAACAGACGACAGATCTTCCCTTGGGATACTGAGCACAACACTTACGCAGTTCTTGGATGACAGCCTGACACTTTGATTCCATGTAGTTGTTGGCTGAAAAACATACAGGCAGAGTCTAGTCATGATCTCATAGGACTAAGGTACAGGGAAGTTTAGATCAGTGCTTCCACCCCTTTTCACTGAAGATATACCAAAATCCACTGAATTCTTTCAAATTTAGAGACCTGTCAACAGGTTCATTAGGAAGAAAAGTATGATTTACAAAGTGGTTGAAAGCGATTTTAATATATAATTTCCTTCAAGGTTGAGTTGATAGCATGCACCTTTTTCCAGGACATTGGTTTTTAACATCATTATTATTACTGGTCACTAATTTGATGAATTAGGAAAATGCACCTAAACCACACATTATTTTGCATACAGTTTAAGCTGATTGTTAGACCTCCCCTACTAAGGCTGTGCATCAGGAATTGGCAAACTGCAGCCTTAGGGTCAAATTCAGCCCGTTTTTACAGCTGGGAGCTAAGAATGGATTTTAGATTTTTAAAGGGTTGTAAACACACAACACATACACAATATATACAACAAAGGCCTTTGGCCTCCAAAGCCTAAAATATTACTTGTTTGGCCTTTTTCATAAAACATTTACAGATCCCTACCATACATAAACACTAAGTTAAGAAGGACCTGACCTAAAAGCTCTAGGTCAGCTGAAGTTAATGAGTCCCCCAGTACTAAAATGGGGTACATAGTAGTTAGCTCAGGATAGGAAAGACAATTCTGATTAGAAAGGCAGTATAGCAGGGTGGGTAACAGTCCAGATTTGGAGCTAGACCAAGGGTGGGGTTGTGGGATGTTCAAATTGTCACCATACCTCTTACTAGCTATGTGACCCTAGTCAAATTACATAACTTCTGTGTCTGTTTTCCCCTTTATGAAATGGGGGTCATAGTAGCACCTACCTCATGGATGAAAGGCTTAATATGTATAATGTCCTTATAACGGTGCTTGTCATCTAGTGAGTGCTTAATGCTAACTCTTAGTCTTTCCAGTTCTCAATCCTCCCACACTGTGCTAAGGGGGTGTCACCAGCTCTTTTTAACTTATTTTTTCCCTTAGCCATGGGTTATTTCAAACAAGGTAAGGATTTATTTGGGAGAAGGAATTCAATGCAAAAAACTTTTTCCTTTTCCTTAAAGTTGGAGGGAAGAAAAGTTTAACTAAAATGGCATTATTATACATCCAGATTTTAATCTAAAAGATTTTATAAAATATTGCTTACATCAAAAAATGAAAAGTCCAAGAATGAAAGCTAAAAGTCCAAGGAAATACACAAAGGATTTCTTTGGTGGTGAATCTTTGGGGGAACTCTGAACATTTTTCCTTCATACCTTTCTATATTTTCATGACTGTCCATCTCTATCTATTACTTTACTAGTGGGGAAAACTTACTAAAAATTTTTCAAATTCAGATAGCCTTATAGCTTTTTCTATTTGCTCTTCTGGCAATAATCATTTACTGATTAGAAAACTAAAATCCTCCAACATTTGGTCAAACTTAGTAGTTGGACAAATGGACAAATCACCTCAAATATGCTTTAGTTGAGATTCACCTCTGCCTTTAAGAGTTAGCTGATGGCTTTGGCAGCCTGAATTCCAATTGTTATTTCAACCCCACCTCTTCCAGATTGCTTTTAAAAAGTGAATTGTCAGCTGCAGTGAAGTATAACCAACCAATTTAAAACTAGCCTTTTAGTAAAAACAAACAAAAAAACCCTTTTGCTTAGCTCAGTAATTCTCAACTCTGGCTGTGCATTAAAATCACCTGGTTAGTTTTCTCGCCTGATTCCCAGCCAGACCCTAGCCCCAGGAAGTCTGAATTGTTCTAGGTAAGTTTTTAAAGATCTCCAGGTGATGCTAATCACCTGGAGTGAAAACCCCTAGCTTTGATCACATTTTTATTTTCTCCATCTTTGATGATACAATGAAGAGAATCTTCAGGATAATTACATATATGTTACATTCTTAAAAAAGAGTTAATACAGATAAAAGAATAATTGGTCTCTTATAGTTAGTTCACAGTGGAAAAATATTTTTAAAGCATTTTACAATGTACTACCTTGTAAACATTTCTGTATCTCACAGGCTTGCTTCTGGCACGGATCCTTCTGCGGCATATCCAGAAAACTAAAACAAGAAAAATGATTTTTATTTTCCTTTTTTCCATAAAGACTTTAAAGCCCCTCTACGTGGAATTTTCTTCTGAGACAAGCAGTATGCCCTTACAATTGCTGGAAAATAATTACACTAAAAATACTCTTCCCAAACACAGGATGAATCAACTGTATTTTTATAATATCCATTTCATTAGGCTTGGAAGATATAAATAGCTTTACATGGAAGAAAAAAACCTTGAATTCAATCAACTCTTTTTGAATACTGTAAACCAACGTTAGGCTAGAGGAGCCGACGGCGCAGCCTGGCTCTATCATTCGCAGAAGAAACCCTTGATAAATGATTAAACTCCTTGAGCTTTTTTTATTACTCATATATAAAATGGGAATCATACCTACCTCAAAGCATTGACAGGAGGATTAAATGTGATAAAGTATATAAGGTACATACAATAGTGCCTGGAAGGCAGAAAGGACTCAATACATGGTAGCTATTATTCCCAAGACTTTTTTTTTTTTTTAAAGTAAAACCTTACTTTTAATGTATATAAACTGTTATGACTACTTTAACTCAGGAAATTTTTTTACAAGTAGTAAATGTTTTCCTAGGAATCAGCAATATTTGGTGTTATTACTTCCTGAGAAAGGTGCCAGTTAAGCAGCTAAAATGGTTTTTCTTGAAGTTCTTATAGAAACCAGCTTATTTAAAATATCTGTAATCAGAGAATGAATTTAAGAACCCACAATTTTGATCAGCAACTTCCAGTAATTTGAAGACACGATTTCAGATAGAAAAAAAGGCCCAGAAGCCTTTGTAGCTAATTTCATCAATGCATATCTCTTTTCAGAGCCCTCTAAATACTCAGTAGATCCAAATTAGGTCAGTACTGGGATGGGAAACACTGGAGCAAAACCTAGGATATTTACAGGATGGGAGAAGGAAAGGCAGGTGAATTGCTGCAGGGCAAATAAGCGACAAATAGATGTTGATGCTGCTAGGAGCTGCTCTCTTCTCTCTAAATCAGTACCAAGTCCTTGGTGATCAGGGCATCTGTTCTGTAGAAGGTGCTGACTTTTGTGGGATTCATCAGATCCCAGGTCCAGCCGATGATGTCCATTAAGGGTTCTATGGCAATTTCCAAAGGAGTCAATTTCAAGTTACGGATCCTGACTAAGTGCTTTTGTTGACTTGCTTTCTGCCTACGTAACCTCTCTCTGCAGTTTCACTTGCAGTATTCTTCATGACCCTTCCTAAACTTCTGTTTCTTGAGCAGTTTTTCAACCCACTCCCTCCCCCCAGGCCCAAGGGTGGGTGCACTGCAGTAGTGGATGAAGTGATTGCCAAATACTGAACAGAACAAAGGAGCATATCTTCGTAGAATCCCAGCACCTGGAAAAAAAAATCATTAAAATCACCACAACTGAATAGAGCCAAAACAAAGAGGGGGAGGACGGAGGAGAAATAGAAATACATACCAGGTTAGTCATCAGGCAAAAGCTTAAGCAACAGCTCCTGTACTCCCCTGACCTGTCAGAAAAAGAAAAATTTATGGAGTACTCTGTTACGAGAGTCTCAATACAATGGAAAATAATTAAGCAACATGTGTACCATTAAATGATGCTGTATCTGCCACAAGCGAGAGTTGTTATCCATGTAGCGCTCCTCCGGGTAGAGTTGCCACATGAGAGGTAGCTGGGAGGTAAGAAGGTGACTTGGCCTAGCTGCGTCACCTAAGGGAACCTGAATTTGCTGGACTCGTGCCCTTAGGAAACTCGTCTCCTAATGGAAAGGAATGATCAAAAATAAAACCAAAGACTTCAGAATATTGAGACTGGAATAGAAACCAAGTTACTTGAAAGCAAAATCAAAGAAATAAGCAAAATGTAAACAGTTACCTCTTCCACGACGGCCACCCACGTGCGCTGGTATTCGTCGCGGTAGATACCCTCTTGGTGAACCCAGAGGTGATCGGGTGGAGCCCCCACATCCTCTCCTGCCATTCTGGGCTTTGGGTTCCAATTCTAGCCCTGCTTTTCTCCACCTAAGCCTGCAGCACCCGCGCACAGGACACAGGTGTGACTTTTTGGGTTTGAATGAACTCACCAGTAAGCAAGGTGATCTGGTAGTAGCAACCACTAACCAGAACCAAACCTCATATATGTCTATTTGCACAACCTAAATAGAACCAAGGACATCTGAAGCTTTCTGCAAGACAACTGAAGTGACACTCAGGCAGAGCCTCAGGTAGTGCTGCTGACTGCAAAGCGCTCAAGAATTTGGCTAGGTGAGGAGTTCTGTGGAAATGTAGGACTAGCACTACAGGAAGCGGGGCAGTGGTCTCACACGTACTGCATTCACAAGCGGTGTCTGGCAAAATGTAGTTAGCAATAGAATATGCAAAGAGCGTGCCTAAGGACACACTTATTTTGGCAGGAAGGCAGTATAACAGACACATGCATGCCATATTCCCCAGGTAAAAGCCACTTCCAAGCAGTTTCCATTTTAAAAGGTAAGATTCTGAAGGACATATATGCATGGCTTTCAGAGTTGAAATTGAAAGTTTGTTTTAAGGGCAAAGGATCTATTTATCAGTGTACTAAGAAAGTTTACAAATAGCGGATGGGCATTTCTAGAAGGGGATTTTCTTGTTAGGAAAAGTAAGCTAGCTTCATGGAATTTCTGAGCTGCAAGAGATTTTGGGGATCACAGTGATTTGGAGCTGAGTGAGTGCAAATGAAAGTTATCCATCTAGGTCCTTGTTTTATTTTAGTAATTCTGCAGGATGTTACAGGAGCCCATGTTTCCATAGAGGACTAGGTTTAAATTTTGACTTCCTAAGCCAGAAGACCAGAAGCACATTTGAGAGGTGTAAAGGAAGCATACCTCCTGAAGCATTTGAGTGGTAGGGCAAACTCTCTCTATAATGATCCTCTGCCCAAGCCCCAGATCTCATTTTAGGACCTCACAATAACTTGATATGCATTTGCATGAGTGAATCTTCTAGACTTTACTCACAGCATTATAGCGCAGTTGTACTGTATTTCTACCTTTGGCCAGAGTATAGATACGGCATTGGGGGAGCTGCCCCACAAAACAAAGACCTCCTATTCTCATTAGGTGGGAAAGGAAATGCAGCGTGGGAGGGTGGTTGTTAGAGTCCTCAAAGTGAGACTGTCAAGAGCAACCAGATGCTTCACCCATTATACCCTGAGTGCATCTGACTCTGAGCCTGGTGCAAGCTCCTTGGTTTTCATACATATGTGCTCTCTCATTTCAAACTCATCTAAACTTTCTCCTTAACCAAATCCTGATTTCTCTCAATGGCAACACCACCATTCCTGATCCTGCAGACTCAAAACTTTTGAGTTATCTTGGATTTCTCCCTCTTATTCAGTTGCTACATCCTATATGTCACCAATTCCAGCAGGCACTACAACTACCACTGCAGTTGAGATCAACTTTCCCCAAATACCAGGCTCATTTCTAGCTCCATACCCTTGCTCTTGCTTTCCATTTGCCTAAAATGCCTCCCTGGGCCTCTCTGCCTATCTTAAGTGCTATTATAGCAGAGTCCAGGTGCCTGCCTCCTCTATGAAAACTTTAGAAAATTCTTGCCTCTTTTGACTACTGTAACATTTATATTTAAACAAAACCACCTTACACATTTGCTTTGCTTATTTCGCAAGTCCTGTCTTCCCGAAAGCACAGTACTGTATACTGCTCAACAGCAGGAATGACACAGTTCTGGGCACCCCAAGTCTCAGATACTGGTCAAGCAATGTTTCTGTGAACAGGTGTATATGTATGGTGGGTAGGGAAGGGAAACAAAGGAACGCCACAGTGGTTGTCATGATTGGCTACGTATATGTGGGTAGAGATTGATTCTCTAGGCATAAGCCTCTGGCTATACATAATTTTTTTCCAAAGCCCCCCCCTTTTTTCCCATTTGCAGATACAGTTGTTTTGCCTCTCCTCCTTCCCAGAGCTTTGGAAAAGAGAAATACAAACAAAAACCTGGTAAATACTAATGTCAAAATAAAATATATTAAATTCGGATTTCAAGCACAAAAGACTTAAATGTGGCCAATAACTGTTTTAAAAAAGTGGAAACCATGTGTTAAGGGTTTCAGGACCATCTCAACTTCATAGATAAGTCCTAGCAACAACCAACATGTTGACATTTAAATTTGTTTTGAATGGAAAGCAAAATTGCATTGGTTATACTGACATTAAAAGGAAATAATGCCAGTGGAATAGAGGGCAAAGAGATTGGAGATGATGGTCTGAGTTACTGAGTCTACAAAGAGGCCTATGAGTTACTACAAAATATTCTCAGAAGAAAGGCAGTGTGATGTGCTGCTGTGACCCGAAGGTCAATATGCTGGGCATCAGAGAGATGAGCCTGGGAACCACCTCTCAGCAGTATCCTGGATTTGTGTGTGCTACCATTCAGAGGGCATGCAGGCCCAGAGAAAGACAACTGCAGTGACCAAGGGACAGAGAAGTCACCATATGAGCACGAACAAAATCCTCAGCACAGAAATGCAAAGGCTGAGGGAGAGGGATTCAGATCAAAGCCTATAAAATCACAGGTTTTATGAGTGGAAAAATGTGATTCTTAGAAAACTTGCTCCCAACATTTTCCTTGGTCAAATAAGTTTGGGAATCTTGGAGAGTCATAAAGCACATTAGTGTAGTAACTGTTCTGGCAAGTTATGCAGTAAAGAAACTTTATGTTAACATTTCCCAAATTTATTTGACTAGAGAACATTTTATTTGCACATGATACTTGTTTACAAAATTCAGGACTTCTCGAACTAAGACGAATCTTTTAAAACCTCAACATAGACTTAGGTACAAGGTGCAATACAATACATGGAACATAAACTTGTGCAACTCAACTCAAGGAATACTGCCAGCTGCAAATACAAATGAGTTCCAAAAATGTTTAGATAACTGCATAACTTTATCATCCACTAGAAGAGATTGTCCCCATGAGGGTCACCTTGATTTCAGGGCCAGAGAGCACACTGGCCCAGACAGACAATTTCTTAGTAAGGCATTTTGTAAATTAGGTTTTAAATGGGTGACATACAAGATAGAAGGGCTCTTAGGTAGTAATCTAAGTAAAACTATCATTTTTCCTTTACAGAATAAATTCTTTTGTGTCTTTTTAAAATAAGTATAGTTTGCTTTAATTGCCAGGTTGATGAACAGTTTTTAAACATTGATCAGTTGAATACGCTTATTTTATTAGAAGTCAATTAATAAACTCGTCCAATTACAATGAGTGAAATTACCAAGACCACAGGCCCAGGCCTGTGTACGAGTCCTGAGTCTGTCACTTACTAGCTTTGTGACCTTGGACAAGTTAACGTCTCTCCACCTCAGTTTCCTGAGGTGTAAAATGAGAATTAAAGAACATATTAATCACGATAGTCTTTATTTAGCATTCCTATATGTTTACATATATTGACTCATTTAATTTTCACAATCTTCATAGGGCGCTATGAGGTGGGCAGTATTATTATCATCCCCACTTAAAGGTGAGGAAAAGTAAGGCACAGAGAAGTTAGGTAACTTGCTCAAGGTCACACAGTGGGGAAGTTGTTGAGCTTGACTTCAACTGGGGCAGTTTACATGTACCAGGCATATAAATGCTTAGTATGTAGCATATAATAAGCTTGCCATAAATGTTAATAATTTTGGTCTACTCCAATTAAATGCCTGGAGCTGTAAAAGGCAGCCATGAGCATTAGAAAAGTTAGTGAACCTCATTCTGGAATATGAGATTGACTACCGCCGATAACAAACAAAAGGTATTTTTCTTCTTGAAAGTGCCTAAAGGCACTATATCCCATCACCAAATATTAATATCATAATAATAAGAACAGCCGTTCCTGCTCCATCAGGACGGGGCATACTAGCCACAAACAGTAACTGAAAATAACATATGATATAAAATTGAAACAAGAGAAAATTTAGACAGGTCCAATGTAACTGCACACGAAAATTTTCCAACCTTCATCATGATCAAATTAATTATAGAAAGATGTGCCACGTGATCCTTACAGATCGTTAGGTAAAAACGGAGGCTGCTGGCGTGCACATTACAGATCGTTGCACTGGATGGGGACCCTATGTGTGGGGAGACTTGGGTTGGAACTGACTTGGGAGAAAAGAGCAAAGCATCAACACTTGAAGTAGCACCTTGGGAATGTTCCCTTTCCAGTACTGCCATACCTGCCTGGCTTCAAAACTACACAAAGTAGAAAACCAAATCAAAGACACGAACACGGACGGGCTGTGGAGGCGGCACGGCATATATTGTGCTTTGATTTAGAATCGCTTCCAAAATCCACGTGTGATTCCTAGACTTGTGAGTTGGAAGATCTGTACTTTTATCCTTGGCACGTTTCACAAACCTCGAAATAAAATTACTTTTACATATATTTTCACTGTCTGATATCATCGAGACAAGGAGACCCGAGGAAACTTGCATTCTGGATACCTAATGTGATACATCCGAACTTGAATAAAAACTGAAGTTCTCCATTTCCCCTTCCCTGTATCCAACAAATAGCTACCTAAAAGCCTTTGTAGAAAGTAGCAGCAGCCAAGCTTAAGAGTGATACTTTTTCAGATACAGTATAACACTGTTTCTGCAAAAGGTTACTCACATGAATATAATGTTTCTTGGGCTAATTAATCCGCCTTGAGAACAGCTAGGCTAAAACTTCCAGGTCTCCCACCCTGGGCCACTCAAGCCAGGATCGCGACGTGAGCCCGGGGTGAGCCGAGGGGCATCCCGGGCCGAGGTCACTCGAACCGAAGTTATGAGGCGCGGGCCGGCAACCGGAAGTGGTCCAGGGAGAGTTGTACGAGATTCGGGGGCTGTGACTTGGAAATAAAACAAAATAAAATAAAACCTTAACTGTTTTGGGACTGACTTTCAAAAGAGCGTCCCCCTGGCTCAAGAGGCCGGCGTTCGCGGAGATGTCGTCTTAAAGGGCTGTCCCCCAAGCGTGTAGGCCGCGCACGGGTCTCCTTAGCGGGCGGGCAAAATGGGCGCCGGTACTCGGGAGGCGCCTGCCCAGGCGCCCGGGCGCGGCTCACAGAGTACGTCCGCCTGCGGCCCCAGAGCGCCGCCTCCCTGCCGCCCCCGCCGCCCGGCCTGACGCCCGGACCGCGGCCGGCCACCGCCCTCCGCCCCGACGGCCACGCCTGCCCCAAACCCCGCGGGCGTTTCCCAGGTGCTGCTGGGCGGGCCCCGCCCCCGCGCGCCAAGGCCCGCCCCCGCGCGCCAGCCTCGCGCCCGCTACCCCCTCCTCGCCCCCACAGCCCCGCCCCCACAGCCCCGCCCGCTCCCTAAGCCCCGCCCCCGAGGAACCCGCGCGCCGAAGGCCAGGCCTGGGCGGAGCGCAGAGCGCGGGGCGCTGGGGAGGCTGCGCCGCAGCACCCGGTTGGTCAGGACTAAGTGGGCCCGAGGCGGACGTGAGAAGGGTCGGGCCAAGATGGCGGTGCAGGTGGTGCAGGCGGTGCAGGCGGTTCATCTCGAGTCTGACGCTTTCCTCGTTTGTCTCAACCACGCTCTGAGCACAGAGAAGGAGGAAGTGATGGGGCTGTGCATAGGGGAGGTGAGTAGCTCTGTTAGCCTGTCCGGAACCCTGCTAAGCAGTCCCAGTGTGTCCCAGCGGTGGGTGCCAGCAGCTGCCAGGGCTGCGGAGGCCACAGGCATACTCGATTTAGATCCTTGGACACCCTTTACATAGCTCTGTCGCGGGGATCCCCGTTTCTTCTGGCCGCCTGACACTTGTTTAGTCTCCTGCGAGTCCCCGGCGGTATGTACAGGCCCCGGGAGCCTTGCCCTTTCTCCTGTAGCCTGGGGCTTCTCTTTAGATCTGCGCTTTTCGCCCCGTTGACCAAAACTGCAAGGCAGGTCAGAAAGACACTGGAGTATATTAAGGACGTCCGGGTATTACGATGCAGCAGCTGACCACGGTTAGAGCCCCTTGCCTCGCCTAGTCTTCCGTCTAGGGAGCAGAGATAACAACCAAAGCATTTGAAGGGTATCGAAGAGCCTAACAGAAGGTGCCGGGCTTGAAGGAAGCAAAAGTTTCCGCTGCATTGTGTTGAGGAGGGGCCAAAGAGGATGAGGAAATACAGTTTAGCTGTTTACGGGTCTAAAGTAATTCTCCAGTCTTTCATACCGTGTGCATGAACACATGACCTAATTGTCATATAATCTGCATATATATACGTCAAACAAACGTAATGTGATCAATAATGTTTTCTGCTTTTTCCCACTCTAGTTGAACGATGATCCAAGGTAAGACCGTATCTGTTTACTCATATCTTATAATCTCTAAGTCATTGTTAACTCAAAATTATGGCGACTTTGACAGTATTGTGTCCAGATCGTGTCTTAAATTAATTACCATTATCGCTCCGGGGCTCTCTCGATGCAATTTGAGTTCCACCCCAACCTTGAACTTTGGTTTCTGCCTTACCTCCTATTGAGTTGAGATATGGGATAAACATCTTAATAAGCATTATCATAATTGTTGGGTTTTAGGGATGAGACAGGGTCTCGCTCTGTCGCCCAGGCTGGAGTGCAATGGCGTGATCTCGGCTCACTGCAACCTCTACCTCCCAGGTTCAGGCGATTCTCATGCCTCAGCCTCTCGAATAGCTGAGATTACAGGTGCCCGCCACCACACCCGGCTTTTTTTTTTTTTTTTTTTTTTTTTTTTTTTTTTTTTTTACAGACGGGGTTTCACCATGTTGACCAGGCTGGCCTCGAACTCCTGGGCTCAAGCAATCTGCCCACCTCGACCTCCCAAAGTGCTGGGATTACAGGCGTGAGCCACCTCGCCTGGCCTTGCTCAGTGTATTTCATGTTCTGTCTCCCGTTAAATGCCAGTGAGATATCAGGAATTTTCTTTGTGACAGAGAGCATATACGTTTAGAGGCATTTCCCCCTGTTGATCCATTCCTTCACGTAAATTGACAGTTACATTGCCTTTCCTCCTGATGGACCTCAGTGATCTCAGAGATCCCCAGTAGCTTCAATGCTTGACGTGGTGAAACCTTTTGGTAACGTTTTAATTTAAACTTCACATCATAACATAGTGTACTTCTCAAGCCCACCTCCTTAATTCCCAGGATTCCAGGAATTTAGCTTTGTCTATGATAACTTTATATACTCAGCCACTTGTGCATGTGTCCCAGATTGCTTCTAACAGATATAGAGTGCAGCTCTAGTCTCAATTCAGTTTCCCTCCTCTTCTTTGGTCTCTGCTAAGATTTCATTGCGAAAACAGTTAATCCTGTTATTTTGCTTTAATTCCTTTTTATATTCCAAACCCCACTTCCTTTTTTTTTTTTTTTCTAATTTATTCCCAGTAGGAGTGACTCCAAATTTGCATATACTGGAACTGAAATGCGCACAGTTGCTGAAAAGGTATGTGTGCTAAAATTTTGCATGATGGAAACTTGCAGTTGGGGAAAGATTTCTGTAATCCAGTGATCTCAGCCAGAGTATGTGGTTTCTGGCTGGATGAGATATTCTTTCTAGTAAAATCAGAATCTGCTCACTAGGAATGGGACCTAATTTTCTGTTCTTTGTAGCAAATTGTCTCTACTTGATCAAGATTAATAATCACTGTCAGTACCACCCTCTTGCTGCTCTCCTTGCTGTCACTGCCTGTTTTCTGGCCCTTCTTCCACTTTCCTTGAGACTTTGGCATGTGGTTCACATCACTATTACCTCTTTATCCCGAATTCCAACATCTACTCATGCAACCCTCTCTTCTTAAACAGGCAAACTAACCATAGCATCATAGTTCTTAGTCTACCTTGACTTTTTTCTTGTCTGCACTCCTACACCACCTTTTTTGGCATGCTCTAGCCTTGATGGTCTAGCGTAATGCTTCTCACTTAATCGTGGTATAGGACTGGTTATTGTTTTCCCCAATCTGTCACAGACTGATGCTTTTGTAAAATACAATAAAAATGAATTATTTCCCCCTCCTCCCACCAGGTTATCAGGCCACAGCTTCATCTACTTATACAAACTTCACCTTAATCACTTTGCATCTCTTCGCATATCAAAGAAATAAGTCATCTTCCTATCCAAAGCTGCAGCTTCTTCAGAGACCCTGTTTATCAATGTTCTGTCTCTTTTCTGGGTCTTTTCCTTGTCACCTGGTTCTTTTCTCTTAGGATAAAAATATGCTTAAATTACTCTCGTTTTCAGAAAGGAAAGCTACTTCTTAATCCTGTATCTTCCTGTAGTCACTACTCTTATATCCTTCCTTTAATAGCCAGACTTCTTAAAAGAATGGGCTACAATTACTACTCCTTCACCTTCCCCAGTCAAACCCACTGAGGTTTGGTTTCTAATTCTACCTTCGGTGGATTATTTCCTGGTGCTTATCTTAGTCTTTCTCCTTGAATCTCTGAACTTTCATGGGTTTCTGTTGGTTTTGCTGTATTCCTTTTATTCCTGTTTCCCCCTTCCCACAATCATTTGTGGGCTTCTCTTCCTCCTCTGTCTATGCATTAAATATTACTCATTCCTCTTAGGCACTGAAATCTCTGACTAAAGTAAGAAAGAGAGAAAGAAACAATTCACCCTAGGCATCAGTTACTATGATACATTCCAAATCTTAATAATGTAATTTTATTATTCAAGATTTCATGCCCTCGTCTTGAGTTTTATGTCAGTTTTTACTGTCTAAATTAGATATTAAACTTTATTAGTTAAGCTGCCTTTTTAGTATTGCATAGTGTATTTTTTATCCTTTTATTTGTAGCCTTTCTATGTACTAATATATAAAATGTGTCTTATTAGTGGTAAAAACTTTAAAAAAAAATCCAGTGTGATCATCTTTTTAAGTGGAGTATTTAGTTGAAAAGCAAAACAAAAATAAACCACAAAAAAAAAGAAATATAATGTGAGCCTCGAATGTGAGCCATATGCATAATTTTAAATTTTTTAGTAATCACAGTAAAAAGGAATAAATGAAATTAATTTGAAGGGTGTATTTTATTTAACCTAAGTATGTGAAGGATTATTATTTTAATATGTAGTGAATATTAAGAAATGTTGAGATATTTTATATTCCTTTTTTCTCTTTTGTGTTGTCTTTGAAGTCCATGTGTATTTCATACTTGCTGCACATCTGAAATCAGACCTGTTGCACAGTGAAAATCTATAGCTGATTTCAAAGGCCTCCTCTCAGATTTCACCCTTGTCCCTTCAACATCTGATAATGTTAAGCCCACTCTTTCCCCTGAAACTCTTGTACCATTTCATTGTTCTCGTTTTGCCTTCTTTGTCTTCTTCCCTGGCCCTTCTTGTTCTTCCCCACACTAAATGTGGCCACTCCCCTTGATTCAGGCCAAGACCTCCGCTCCCTGACTCCACACCTTTTTTGTCCACTCATAAACGCTTTATTGATTTCTGCATTGATTCTGTTTGAGTCTAAGCTATAATCCCACTTGCCTGCTAAAAATTGCCATATTGTATATCTCTCATCCCAGATTATCTCATCTGAAAACAAGCTCTTCTTTCCTTCCTGACCCTTTCTAAACTTAGATCTGCCTCACATCTTCTACCTAGTTTCAACCTTGAAACTTTAGAATCATCTTTGACCGTTTCCTGTCTACCATCACCCATGGTCCATAAGCTACCAAATGTTGTAGATTCATTCTTTTTAATGGGTCTCAAATCTGTTTCTTCCATCTCTGCCATCTGCTTAGCCCAGTACTTCATTGTTACTTCATCTACAGTTTATCTGAAATAATTTTTTTCCTTTGAGTTCATCCTGCAAATTATGGCTTGGCATTTCAGGTCTTGTACATTCTCACTCCAACTTTCTTAGCCTTGCCATCTGCCATTTCACCTCAAGCTCTGTGTCTAAATCACTTGGCCAAGTTGTCTCCCAGACACCTCATTCACACTTTACTACTTCCATTTGGCACCTGTAGAAATGTGTTCCCCCCACTTCCCACAGTAATCAAGGAATAGATACACTTGTCTGCCTTTTCTGTGAAGATTTTTTTCTTTTTTAGATTCATATCCTGCTTATGTAAAAGATTACTTTTCTAATGTAAGTGAGTTCTTTCCTCTGAGCTCCTGTATTAGTCTGTTATCACACTATAAAGAACTCTCTGAGGCCGGGTGCGGTGGGTTATGCTTGTAAGGTCCTGAGGTCGAGGCGGGCCTGAAGTCAGGTGTTTGAGACCAGCCTAGCCAATTTGGCTACCAAAAAATACAAAAAGCCAGGCGTGGTGGCATGTGCCTGTAATCCCAGCTGCTGGGGAGGCTGAGGTGGGAGAATCGCTTGAACCCAGGAGGCAGATGTTCCAGTGAGCTGAGATTGCACTGCTGCACTCCGGCCTGGGCAACAGAGTGAGACTGTGTCAAAAAACAAACAAACAAAAACTCCCTGAGACTGGGAATTTATAAAGAAAAGAGGTTTAATTGATTCACAGTTCCACATGGCTGGGGACGCTTCAAGAAACTTATAATCATGGCGGAAGGTGAAGGAGAAGCAAGGCACATCTTACATGGTGGTAGGAGAGAGAGAGAGAGAGTAAAGGGGGGAAGTGCCACACTTTTAAACCATCAGATCTCCTGAGAACTCACTCTCACACTATTATGAGAACAGTGTGAGGGAAATCTAACCCTACAGTCCAATCACCTTTCACCAGGTGTCTTCTGTGATACGTGGGGTTTACAATTTGAGGTGAAATTTGGGTGGGGACATAGAGCCCAGCCATATCAGCTCCTATGGCATTGACTTACTACATTATCTTAGTGGACTTTCATGAATGACAACTTGCCACTCAGCCATGTCGTTAGCACATTGAACCCTTTGTCAGCACCCTGATTTATATTCCTTTGTGTGACACAGTGTTTTGTACATAGTTGTAAGTCAAATAATTACTGGTTGATCATTCCAAAAGTCCTTCCTTGATCTAAATATTAGCATATATATTTTAAATTTTTGTGTCTGAAATGTATATATTGAGGTTGGGTGTCTTTTATTTGAAACATTTGATTCGTGAGAAAAGTGTCAGTTTTCTAAAATGGAATATTTTATCTGATATTATAATAAAATGAAATCCTATAGTTGAAGGGGGATGTGTTATTGGAGAGAGCCATAAGTAACCATTTCTGTGGATTTTCCTTTAGGTTGATGCCGTCAGAATTGTTCACATTCATTCTGTCATCATCTTACGACGTTCTGATAAGAGGAAGGACCGAGTAGAAATTTCTCCAGAGCAGCTGTCTGCAGCTTCAACAGAGGCAGAGATATCCTTACTGGTCGATAGAAGCTTTTATGTGCTCTGGGGTTCCTGGGCCACATTGCTGCTTGCTTGCTGCAATCATCCTACTTTAGGTGGTTTCACAAATTTTCTTCCCTTAGATCCAATTGTTTGGTTATTAGAATTTCTCTTTCTTCTTTTGAGTGGGTTTTATTGGAAGAATTAGAAATTTTCTGACATTCCTGCTCCTAAGTGCCAAAAGATGTCAGGGTCCATCACTGTGACAATGAACTCTGTGTGGAGTCCCCTCCATCTTCCTCCCTAGTCTTCTCTCCATTCCTCCCTGCCCCTCCTTCCAGTTTTCCTAGTGTCATTTAATTTCTAGGCCATTTGCTACCTTGGTCTCTATCCTCTTGAGAGATTCTCCTTTGTGACTTCCTTTCAAAAAATGCAATGCTAGGAACTGAATGCAATGTTTCATGTTAAATATAACCCCAAAATGATCAAATGGGGCATTTGTTTCCTGTGATTTGTTTCAGTATGTTACTGAGTGCCCTGACTGGCGCCTCGTGAGTGTATATGAAGCTGATCCCCATCCCGCTTTTGTTTTCTTGAGGAATGCCGTCAGAAGTTCTGGTAGTTTCCTCACATCCTTCCGCTTCAGTGATCTGCTGAATGCTCAAGTGGGACCCTCAAGTGCGGATATGCAGGCTGTCTCTGCAGCTCTCCTCTGTGGTCCTCTGCCCTGCAAACTTCAGCTGCAATTACTATTTGTTAAGCACTTACTAGGTGTTTGCCAGGCACTACGCTAAACACCGTGTGTGGATTATTGCATTTACTCTTCACTGCTCTGAAACATTATTCCCCTGCCTCAGTCTGCAGCTGAAGAAATGGGCTAAGAGAAGTTAAGTAGTTTCTCTTGTCATTTGAAAACTTGAAAATATATCTTAGAAATATGTATAAAAAGGATTATTTTAATATAAATAATTTGCAGGAAAACTAATCAGCATTTTACAGGATAACAGCAGCAGTCTTGAAAGTGACAACTTCTGACGATTTAGAAAAGCTTTTCAGATAGCACATTGGTAATGATTCGAGTGATCAAACATCAGCTAAATGAAACTTGAGGATGTAACTATATACGGCATTGGAAACCATATGGTTTCTAGTTTAAAAAATTTTGGCTTTAAATGGGCGTTATGGGAAACTCAGCATTAACCTTATTTCATTCTTTTGTTGCCATTAAATTGCAATAAGCTTATTTTAAACTTCAGGGTGCTTTCTGAGCCCTTATTAGCATTAGAAAATTTTGTTCCCACATTTTGAAAGTACCTTGACAGACACACAGGTTGGCTGAACTGACAGGCCGCCCCATGAGAGTTGTGGGCTGGTATCATTCCCATCCTCATATAACTGTTTGGCCTTCACATGTTGGTGAGTATCATGGGTTTGCAATGTTTATTGTTCTCAGAAATTAATATCATGTTTCCTTCTCCATTACATAGGGTATGGTTATTTTAAACCAAAATTCGACTGTCCTTAAGCAGACGTCACTATTTTGATTTATTTTGTTATGTATTAAAAGTAATTATTTATGTCATATTGATTGTTTTTAATAAGTCTGTCAGTTGATACAAAAAAATTAAACTGTTAACTGAAAATTGCTGATTGCTGAATATCATTACTGTCCAGGATACTCCCATTCTGCAGACTTAAAGGGCAAAATTTGCAAAATTGATTTTTACAGTTGCTGTTTACGTATAGTCCATTGGAGCTCTCAATATATATCTTTACCCTTCTAATCGGTGTAATGTAACTAAATTGCTTTCTCTCTACCTTTACCCCTTTTTGAGAATCATGATTTTTTTTTTTGTCCATATCTTCCTCTCCAGAAAGGAGAAAAGTAACTTGGGGAGAGTGAACTAATATTCACGAGCACTTAACTATGTGCTAATGGTTTACAAATGTTTTCTTCTCCAATCCTTGTGGCAACCTGTGAGTTAGAGATCTTACCCCCATTGTACAGAAAGGTAAACAAAGACTCACATGAATTAAGTGGCAGAGCTGAGGTTAGAACCCAGGTCTGACTGCCCAGCCTGCTCTTCCCACTGTGCTAGTACTAGTCATATGGGTTTGACTTGATAGCAAGTTCTAAATTCGTTTATGCTGTGATACGAATGGCAAAAAATCATCAGTGGTACAGTCCCAGACTTTAATGAAACACGAGTGGTCCTAAGAAATACAGTATTAATTCTCAGTCTTGGGTGGGTGAGGATGTTTCTCAGAATCACCTGAGAAAGCTTTTATAAAATGTACCTGCCCCAAATTAATCTTTCCTAGACCGTAACTCAGACCTACTGTGACAACCTCTGGGAGTAGGTGTTAGGTGGGGATATTGTTGAACACCCCCAGTTAAATACCGATTTAGAATAAGGGAGATGACAGATCTACCTTCTCCCAGATTTGCCAAATTTTAACATTTTGCAACATTTGCTGTATCATTCTCTTTTACATATATGTATATACATATATGTATATTCCTGAAGTATTAGACTAAGTTGCAGACATGGTACCTTTTACCCCTACTCTGCACTATGAATTTCCTAAACACAAAGAAATTCTCTTACATAACCATGGTACATTTATAAAAACTGGGAAATTAACATTCATATAATACTATTATTTAAATTACAGACGTTATTCAGATTCTTTAATTGGCTCACTGATGTCCCAATAAAGTTGTTTTTATAGCTATTAATATGTTCCTGTAAAGCCTTAATGTCACTGAAAAAATTCAGTGTCTGATTTGTTTTCCTGTCACTGTCAACACTGAAATCAGATTGGCCTAAAATTTTTCCCATGGTAGTGCCATCAGCCAGAAAGAATGAAGTACCAACCACTAATGAAGAAAAGTTTGACACATATATTACTGAACAATTATTTTCACTATAGTAATAAGTTACAGTGGGAAATAAATACATAAAATTTGGTGGTAAAAAGAAATTCCCTACGAATTTAAGGAAAAAAACCTTATAAGTATCTGAAGCAGAGCACCCAGAAAGTTTCAGAGTTCAGAGAACAATTGAATTCTCTCAGGGGAGAAGATCTGAGCCATTAAACAAGAACCCAGGTAGGTGTTTGTAATGCAGCAGTAGTGGGAACATTTCAATCTTTATAGCAGTTAGGAAAAAAAAAAAAGGATATTGCAGAACGTAACTGAAAAAAATCAACTCTAAATTATGAAATGATTAAGGAGCCATGTGCTCCATAATTTAAGACAAAATAGATTTGGAGTCCAGAGTGTAGAGATCCTACCTGAACAAGTATTAGAATATGCAATAAAGGCTATGTGTATAGAAAATTTAGAGAGTTACCACAGCATGAGGGTTGGGAATACCAGCTTTGATTTAGTTGGGGACTAGGTCTGTGTTAGCATCTTGTTTCAGTCACTTACCAGTTGAGAAAATATTTTAACTTGTCTGTGCCTCTCTAGTTTCCTCTCTGTCAGAAAAGAACATAGTCTCAGAGTTGTTAGGAGCAGTGTATGAAATCATGTATACGACACCTTGTCCAACACTTACCATGGTAGCTGTTCACCTATAAAATGAACAAGAAAAGAAAGATGCCAAAACATTTATTTGTAAAACTCTCAAGGACATGGAGAGAGTGTATGAAATATCTATATTGAAGGGCAGACAATATTCAAAGGATTAACAATGAGGACACATCAGGTCTCTCACCTGAGATCTCAAAAATATTTACAGGCTGGGCATAGTGGTTCATGCCTGTAATCCCAGCACTTTGGCAGGATGAGGTAGGAAGATCACTTGAGGTCAGAAGTTGGAGACCAGCCTGGCCAACAAGGTGAAACCCTATTTCTATTAAAAATGTAAAAATTAGCCAGGCATGGTGGCAGGTGCTTGTAATCTAAGTTACTGGGGAGGCTAAGGCAGGAGAATTCACTTGAACCTGGGAGATGGAGGTTGCAGTGAGCTGAGATTGTACAACTGCACTCCAGCCTGGGCGACAGAGCGAGATTCTGTCTCAAAAAAAAAAAAGTACAGTAATGAAACTATGGGTACAACTAAAGAAAAATAATTGCCCAACTGAGCTGGCATTCACACTCATCTCCAAACAGCCTTTTAAGAAGTAGTACCTTATAAATGTATGCAATTATGATTTGTCAATTAAAACTAATATTTAAGAAAGTAAACAAATGGGAATAAAAAGAATTGAGTCTAACAGAGCCACTGTATTGCAAACCTCAGAAAAAGTGAGCAATGAATAAAAACTTTAACTACCTTTAACAGGAAAAGAATTCCAAGCTGTGGTAAAGAATGGCAACTGAGAAAGAGTGAAATCTTTTTTTCTGTTAAAAGAAAGGTATAATTTTAGTTGGCGAGGGAGAGTGATGTGACCATTTCAGTGCTTTTTATGATAAGGTAATTAGTGCAATTAGGTTAAGTTCCAGTGGGCTAGGTAACACTGCTTTGAACATAATTTAAAGGGATCATTCCATAAAACGATTCTTCAGGAAATTTACTGGATACTTGTATGGAATAATAAGGTCATGGCTCCTGCTGTCCTAGACCTTAATGATTTTGTTGAGGGGAAAACAATGAGTAACATGATAAAGAAGAAATGAGATGTCGTCCATATAGAACATTAGTGCTTGTAAGTATTAACAGGGGAAGCACCTATAAAAATAAAGCCTTGGGATTAGGAAAAAAGAAGAATAAGATTGTCTTTTATTAAAGACAAGCTGCAAACCTAAAGACTTGAAGAGAAACTAACAAGCTAGGTTAAGCCATATGGGGAAAATAAAGACCTGCCATCATAAGCTAAAGGGTAGGTGAGAGAAGATAGGTTATTCATTCTATAACAAAAGGCACAGTAGCTAAGGAAACTAATGAGACTGAATTATGTGCCTTACCATAGCAACACTCATGTACACAGGATAAAGTTTTACATGTAAGGAAGGGAAACTAGTTGAAATAGAAGAACTTGATAATCCACTTTCAGAATGTATTCATTCCTTCAAAAGAACATAAAGTGAGTTGGCCTTGGGTTGAGGTTGGCAGCGGAGGGGAGAATGAACAAAAGCAAGGGTAAGGTAGGACAAGCACACATACAAAGACTTTAAAATTTCATATTAAAAGAATTTTAGTCTTACAGAAAAATTTCAAGAATAGTATGAAGAACTAGATGCAACAGTTGTTAACCTTTGGTCGCATTTGCTTGATTATATTCTCCCTCCCTCTCCAGCATACACACATGCACATGTGCACACATGCTATTTGAGAGTGAGTTGCAGACATGATGCTCCTTTACCTTTAAATACTTGATTGTGTATTTCTCAAGATTAAGGTTATTTATTTCCATAACCACAGTGCAATTGTCAAAATAAGCACATTTAATAAATACAATCTTATTGTGCAGACTACACAGAGCTTATTCACATTTTGCCAGTTAACTCAATATTGTCCTTTATGGCAGTTTTTTTCTTTCCGATCCAGGATCCAATCTCAGATCATGCATGACATTTAGCCTTCATGTCACTTTAGTCTCCTTTCCTCTGGACCAGCTCCTTAGACTTGTTTTCCTCTTTCATGACATAGACATTTTAGGAGATGGACTATTGCTCCATGTCTGCTGTTTGCTTATGACTAGGATAGGTTACACACTTTTGGCATGTGGTGCTAGTTCTTTCTCAGCGTCTCCCATCAGGACATGTGTGATTTCTCTGCCTCACACTAACATTTTCATGCCGCTGATGAGGCAGAATTAACAAATGTGAGTCAAATGGGAAGAGGTGATAACAAGCCTCTTCTCAGCTTGTCCATTTGTTGAACAGATACTGAGGACTTGCCCATGCCAATTTGTAATAATATCTGCAAAGCCAATTCCACAATTGGGAAGCTGTGCATGTTCCATGATGTCTCTGATCAGTGTGCTCCTACTTTCTGCATTTCAAACCTCTGAATTCCCCATTTCTGCTTTCACGTTCAGCAATGTTATCTAACATTGCTTCCCACTTTAATAGAGAAAACAGGAAGTTGTTTTTTTTTGTTTTTGTTTTGAGATGGAGTCTCGCTCTGCTGCCCAGGCTGGAATGCAGTGGCGCGATCTCGGCTCACTACAAGCTCCACCTCCCGGGTTCACACCGTTCTCCTGCCTCAGCCTCCCGAGTAGCTGGGACTACAGGCACTCGCCACCACACCTGGCTAATTTTTTGCATTTTTAGTAGAGATGGGGTTTCACCGTGTTAGCCAGGATGGTCTTGATCTCTTGACCTTGTGATCCACCCGCCTCAGCCTTCCAAAGTGCTGGGATTACAGGTGTGAACCACCACGCCAGGCCCTAAAAAGTTTTTTTAAAGTAGGATAGGCCAGGTGTGGTGGCTCATGCCTATAATTGCAGCACTTTGGGAGGTTGAGCTGGGAGGATTGCTTCAGCCTGGGAGTTCAAGTCCATCCTGGGCAAGATGGTGAGCCTCTGTCACTTAAATTTTTTGTTTTAATTAGCCAGGTGTAGTAATGCATGCATGTATTTCCACCTACTCAGGAGGCTAAGGTGGGAGGAACCCTTGAGCTCAGGAGTTGGAGGTGGCAGTGAGCTGTGATTGCACCACCATGAGCCAGCCTGAACGACAAAGCAAGACCTTGTCTCTTAAACATTTTCACCATGTAGCTCCTAAAAGGAAATGAGAAGGCCTATTTCTGAAATGTTTCCATGTCCCCTTGGGGACATTAAAGAGACATTAAAAGAGAATGTCTATTTCAGGCAAGAATAATAAAATGGGTTTTTAATACTACATATGGTTATTTCATCATATTTCTTAGGAATGGTGCTGTGTAATATCACAGTGCACAAAATCACAGATTCTTCAAGAAAACTGGTTCTTAAATACCCACAAAGGGGCCCAGTACAACCTGCAGCCTGCTGCATGCCTGTGACATTTAGTCTAACAGCTTAACTAGCCCTCTGCTGTACTTGCCATACAGAAAAGCTGAAACCGCTGGTTTCCGGGTCAGTTTACGTGGTCCAATCCCTGACCTACTTTCTTCCTGAGAGACCCAACCAGAGGAAACTCTGACCAAAAGAGCATCTCTTGTGTACCAGGCTGGAGTTCAACAGAAAACAGATAAACAACCTCCAACTTTTTGTCCCTGGGTCTGAAGTCACATCCTGAAGGGTTTGGTTACACCAGTAATGAAACATACATGGTTTCCTATTGCTTTCCCTTCTTGATCTCCCTTCTTAATTTCCGGTGAGGATAATGTCACCAGAAGGTTCCATCTCCCTCTCTCAGTAACAGGGAGAAGTGAAACAGGCAATTAGATCTCATGCAGGGTCTTGGCTTGAGCCTTGGGGCAGTTTACAGAGTTTCAGTCTTGACCACGGAGATCTTTACCAATTTGCTGGGTAGGTCCATGGCTGCCTGGTTCCCCCAAGACTGCTTTGCCATGACTCTGAGGAACTGCTCTTTGGTAATTTCAGGAGGTTCTTTCCATTTAAGGGTTCTTCAGACAAAATGTCTGAAGTGCTCTCAATATGAGTTTTGGTAGCGGCCAGCCTGGGTCTGGGAGCAGAGGGATAGGATGTACCCTGCGTGGTCATGCCCAAGGGATTCTGATTATTCATCCACAACACACCTTGGGAATCATGAACCTCCCATCTGTGGTCACAGCTGTCTGTCTAGTGCTGGCTGATGTCCAAGCTAACAGCTGCCCCACTGGGAAACTTCATGCTGGTCACAATGGCATCTGCATCCTTTAAGGAGGCCATATCTGGTCAGAAGGCATGTCCGAGAGAAAACAGTGTCTGGAGTGACTTTTCCCAGCAACATGCATGGGATGTCCGCATTGTGTACCCAATCTTGTAGAGAACCCCACCTGCCCGCCTGCCCTCCCTTCCTTCCTCCACTCCTCCCTCTCTCCCTTCCCTCCCTCTCTTCCCTCCCTCCCTTCCTTGCCCAGGCTGGAGTGCAGTGGCGTGATCTCAGGTTACTGCAACCTCCGTCTCCTGGGCTCAAGCAATTCTCCTGTCTCAGCCTCCCAAGTAGCTGGGATTACAGGCGCATGCCACCATGCCCGGCTAATTTTTGTTCATTTTGAGTAGAGATGGGGTTTCACCACATTGGCCAGGCTGGTCTCAAACTCGTGACCTCAGGTGATCCGCCCGCCTTGGCCTCCCAAAGTGCTGGGATTACAGGCATGAACCACCGCACCTGGCCGGCCCCTTCTTTAGGAAACCGAGAGAAGCCCCTGCTCACAGCACCATCTGGTGGATCCTTGTGTAAGAACTGGATTAAAGCGCTTGTAAAGTCCAGAGGAAAGGCGTTCCCAGTCTCTCGGCTTCCTTCTCTGAATGGGCCTGCCCCCTTGAATAGGCGGTCGTCTATTCAAACCAGGCAGCCTCTTGCAAAGCACGCCCATCCCTGTTCTCGAATTACCCTAGTGTTGGCCAAATAATCGGCTCTGAAGGTTCAGTCCACTTTATATAGCCGATCCTCAAAAACATACAGCAAGCAGCAGCTGTTCTCATCTAGTATATCCCAAAGATGGCCAGGCGAATGCTCCGATGTCATTAAAGCATCTCATACCTCTGTTGGAGGCTTCTGAAATAAGTCTTTGGCTGTTCTGAGAGCACCAATAGGCTTTTCACTCAGAGAACAGAAGTAGATTTGCGTCTGGACCGGAAGCAGAATGCCTGAGAGAATATCTGAGCGGATACTGAGGGGCAAGGGTGAGTGGTGCAGGGTCCGAGGCTGCTGAGATGAGAATGAGCGTCCATAGGATGACAGCTCTTCAGGGGCAGCAGTGGCTGGAGTGGGTCCCTCTGAGCTCAGGTGGTCTCCCAAGGGGTAGCCAGTGCTCAGAGTGGGTACATCCATTACGATGGGGTGCCAGAACGATCCCTCCCGGAGAAGGTTCGCCGGCGAGAAGAGTATGCTTTCCCACGGGGGAAGATGGCGGTACAAGGGTCTCCCCTGGGAGGGTGACCAAGGCCAGTCTGAGCCTCTGGGGGCCCAAGGTCGGGGACTCTTGGTAGCCAGTGGACGGGCAGGGCTGACTCGCTTTGGCAGACTCCGTCTCAAAAAAAAAAAAAAAAAAAAACACACAACCAAGTTGAAGCGTCAGGGTAGACAACTATAGTTCTGGAGTTCAGAGTAGAAGTCTGGGACTGGAGATTGTTGGGCAGGAGTTGAGAGTGGCTTCAAAGCCACGAATAGATGAAATCCCCCAAAGAGTGACGGTAGAGAGACAAAAGGACTGAACACTGACCCTGGGCCACACCAATATTTGGAGACTGGGAACATGAGAAGGATCCAGCAACAGAGACAGGAAGTTAGAGACAAGTAGAAAGAGTGAGAACGTGAGGCAAAGTGAAGACTGTTTCAAGAAGGGAGTGATCAGCTGAGATCAGGTAAATTGAAGACCAAGAATAAATCATTGGTGACCTTCACAAAAAGCAGTTTGGGTGACATGATGGGGACACTAGTTGTTTTCAGTGGTTATAGATAAAATTGAATGGAAGTGACGTTTATGAAGCACCTTTGATGTGTTAAAAATTTTGCAATTTAAAAATTACAGAAACCCTATGAGAGAAGGCATGATGTTTATTCTCATTTAACTGATAAGGAAATAGGCTTAACAGTACCAAGAATTTTACCAAGGTCATATAGCAGTACAGAGACCATTTTTACAATGCTATGCATGTTTAGCAGTATTTTCAGCCAATTCCCTTTGTACTCATTGCTGAGTACTGTTTGGTGTCAGTCTTTACTTAGGAAGACACTGGGGAGAAGTCAAAATCCAGATCAAAAAGGTATACACACAAAGAATGTTGAATGTAAGCCATTGGGCAAAACTGTAATCAGCAGTGTTTCATGGTGACATGTGATCTTTTGTATCCTTTATAAACAATGGTCTGAAGACTAAATTTAGCCTTTGGAGTTTCACTCTCATTGCCCAGGCTGGAGTGCAATGGCACGATCTTGGCTCACTGCAACCTCTGCCTCCTAGGTTCAAGCGATTTTCCTGCCTCAGCCTCCCAAGTACCTGGGATTACAGGCATGCACCACCATGCCCAGCTAATTTTGAATTTTTAGTAGAGAAGGGGTTTCTCCATGTTGGTCAGGCTGGTCTCAAACTCCCGACCTTAGGTGATCTGCCTGCTTCGGACTCCCAAAGTGCTAGGATTACAGGCATGAGTCACCACGCCTGGCCATTTTTGGCATTTAATATTTTAATCCTTTCTAATGTTGTTCTTTGGTGCAAGCCTAATAAATATGTTCACTTTCCTAGAAGCTGTCCATCAAAAGGCTTTTTCTAGGAAATACTTTCTCTCCTTCCAGGGCCTTTCTTTGAGTCTCCATGGAGGAAATTATCAAGTTTTGGGGTAATTGAAATTTTTAACTTCTCTTTCTATACCACATTCCATAGCAGAGCTACTCTTGGGCTAGGCAGGCTAGAGTTATTAATGAGTTTTATTATTTAATGGCAGACTTTCGATAGTATTACCCTAACCTAGCAAAATATTTATACTTTGACATTGTCCTTAGGATATATTCCTGTTTTGCCTATACAATCTGAATCCTAGGGAGATTATATGTCACTGTTATCTTTAAATCGTCAAGTCTGTGAGACACAGTTTATTGACAGAAGATTTTTAAATTTTCATTTATTTTCAGATGTTCGCACACAAGCCATGTACCAGATGATGGATCAAGGCTTTGTAGGACTTATTTTTTCCTGTTTCATAGAAGATAAGAACACGAAGGTATTGTGTGTGCGTGTGTGTGTGTGTGTGTGTGTGTGTGTGTGTGTACACACAGAGTAGAGAAAAATCTCTTTGCAATTTTAATAGGATGGCCAGGAAAGGTTTCAATGAAAAGGGTCATTGAGTCAGGACCTGAAGAAGGTGAGGGAACAAGTCTGGTGGATTTCTTGGGGAAAGAACGTTCCAGGCAGAGGAAATAGCCAGTGCAAAGACCCTAAGGTGAGTGTGGCATGTTCAGGAAACATCAAGGAAGTTGGTGTGGCTGCAGCAGAGTGAGGAAGACCATGACCATACATCCCAGTTTGCCTCTGTCAGTCCCAGTTTTACCCTATTATCCTACTGTCCTTCCCTCTTGGAAGTGTCCCAGTTTGAATGATAACTCATTTAGTTGTCCTAAACGAGGTCCAGATCTTGTAAGGCCTTGACTTTGACTCTGACTTGGGAAGTAACTGGAGGATGACTTTATGTTTTAATGGGATCTCTCTGGCTTCTGTGTAGACTGAACAGTGGGCAGAGGGTGGGGGTGGAATCCATGGCATCAGTGAAACCTGTTAGGAAGATACTGCTGTAATCTAGACAAGAGATGATGGAGGTTTGGTTATGGTGGTAAGAGTGAAGATAATGAGAAGTGGTTGGATGCTGAATGTAGTTTGATGACTAGTAATAGTAACAACTACCATTTATCACCTATTGTATGGCATGTACTTATTAGGTGCTTTATATAAATATGCTGTAACCCTGACAACCCAGAAGCTCATAGAGCTTAAGCAGTTTGATCAGTGGCCAGTCTTGCCATTCTGTATTTGAATTCTGTTTGAATTTTATGTTCAAGAAGTTATAATATGTGTCAGTTCAAACAAAAAGAAAATTACTACTTAACATTGTAGGTATGAATTCTGCTAAGAATACCAATAGTGTCTTATTTAGTGCATTAGTTATATTCTCAGAATCTGTGTTAATAATGAATATTTTCCATAAAATCAGTTTTCCAGAAACACTACAGTTCAGTACTTTGAACTTTATACATCATTTGATATGCTTTCAACTTTGTAATCATACATTTATTTATTTATTGTCATCATAAGTAGTTGTTGAATAAGTTTGTCAGCTTTCAGTATAGCAGTTTGAATGTTCAGGTTCTTAGGTTCCTGGTTCTTGTATTTGTTAACAATTCCCTGCTGTTACATGAGCAGATGTTTGGTTGTGACCATCTTATGTTGACTGAGCATATGATCCTTTTTCAGAAATTGATTTATGGCATATTCCATCTTAGGAATCTCTTTTAACCTTCTACTTCTAGAGGGGCTTTTGGGGTCTTTCTCAATATTAATCTTTCTTTCTGTGATATTTCTTTCTTTCTTTTTTCCTTTGATAGACTGGCCGGGTACTCTACACTTGCTTCCAATCCATACAGGCCCAAAAGAGTTCAGAGTAAGTATTAGAGAGACTTATGTGTGTATTGGAGGGCTGTATCTTGTCTTTGCTGTGTCATAAACTTGATTTAAATGTTTGCATAGATCCATTTCCTTATTGAAATCTAACTTAATCTAAATTAGCAAATCTTTTTTTTTTTTTTTTTTTTTTGTTTGAGACAGAGTCTCACTCTGTCACCCAGGCTGGAGTGCAGTGGTGTGATCTCGGCTCAGTGTAACCTCCACCTCCCGGGTTCATGCAGTTCTCCTGCCTCAGCCTCCTGAGTAGCTGGGACTACAGGCATGTGCCACCATACGCGGCTAATTTTTGTATTTTTAAGAGAGATGGGATTTCACCATGTTGGCCAGGATGGTCTCGAACTCCTGACCTCAGGTGATCCGCCCGCCTCGGCCTCCCAAATACTGGGATTACAGGTGTCAGCCACTGCACCTGGCCACTAGCAAATCTTAATTGAGTACCTACTATATGCCATGTTAATTCATTGTCTAATTGGGAGATAGAAGCAAATACTGTTACCTTTTTTCTTGTAATATTTATCAATTTATTATTATAGCATTGTTTGAAATGTCAAAGAATTGGGAAAAATCAGATGCTCATCAGTACAGAACTGATTAACTCAATTATAATACATTCATATAATGGAATAAAGTGCAGCCATTAAAAAAACAAAAACAAAAACGAGGAAGCTTGATAGTAGTACATAAATATCTCCAAGATATTTTGTTAAATGGAAAATTCAGGGTAGAAGAACAGTATGCTACGATTTGTGTAAAGATGTGGAAGAGAAATAGATAAATACCTAGTCAAGAAATATTAATTTAAAAAATTTAAAAATTTTCACCACACGATTACATGCATATGCGTAAAAATATTGAATGGTACAGAAGTGCTTATAATAAATAGTTTCACTCCTCAAATGGAACCACTTCTTTCTCCTAATTTTCCTTTTAGTTCTTCTGTTACTTTGATATCTCCAAATAATATACTTATGATGTTCTTTCTTGATTTACCAATTTTGGGTGTTTTCTATTCTTCTTTATTATTGTGTTATATTGCTCTCACAAATGAGGATTTAGCTCACTTACACTACCCCATCTCCATTCTCCTCAATGTAGTTATGTTACTATTTTTTGTTCTTCTGTTGGTTACTTTTCTAATCTTAAAGTTTGCTTATTTCTTCTATTAACAATTGACAGTAGACAATATTTTTTGGCTCCCTGCCGCCACTTGTAGTTTTACCCTAAGCATTTATATTTTCACAGTTGTAAGCATCTGTGTTCTGTGTTGTAACCATAATTGCATTTTCTGTGCTTTGTCTATGGTTGATTCTGAGAGTAGAAAATAAAGTGTTTATATTGTTATTATTATGTAAAGATTATTCCCTGTACAGCCAAGCAGTGTAGTGTACTATGATTCCACTTCCTTTCTTATATAGCTTTTTGTTTTTTACATGGGGTTTCGAGTGGCTTTTTCCCCTTATTTTTCTGCCTTTATCATCTCCCAGAGCTCTACATCCTCAGAAGTAATATTAAAATATTTGGAATCCTTGCTTTTCCTAGGATTGCTCCCTTGAAACCCACTATCCTCTTACCCTAATCTGGTATCTTCTCTAGGCTTACTGCACAGCTGACATCCTGGGACTTTCCTTCATTATTCTCCTGGATTGGATCCATTGTGGTCTGGATTTTGTGTTACCTTTCTTGGTTCACTGTGTCATTTTGCTGGAAAAGACTCTCTAGTAACTTCCTAAGTTTTTAAACATCCAGTGTTACTGATGATAAGCCTTTGTAGGGCATTTTTTTCCCCTCTCTCTCTGACAGCTTTTAGATATCTCTCTTTATTCTTGATGTGAAATTTTCTATGATTTTCTAACTATGATATAGTTAGAATGTGGATATTTTATTCAAACTGCTGTACACTTCAATCAGAAAGTACTTGTCTTTCAGCTCTGGGCAATTCTCTATTGTTTTTTGTTTGTTTGTTTGTTTGTGTGTTTTGTATCCCCAGATAAAACAATCCACAACCTACCTAGTTCCTGGAGAGAGGAAATCTTATTTGTAACTCAGTCCAATTCCATAATTTAAACAGTTTCTTCAAGTTTATATTGGTCTTTGGGGAATGACTTCTCATTCCTTCAGTTACTTCCGTTACTCCCCATGTTCACTCTAAGATGGCATCAGAAGTATTGGGAAGATGACTTAAATAAACCTACACTGTAAGGAAAGGAGGCTTTCTGGTCTCATGCTGGTTATGGTGGTCCTTGTTCTCATGGTCAGTGTTCTCCTTAATTTATCCAATATAATCCTGTCTCATGGACTTGAATTCCTAGCAGAAGGAGATGTATCACCAGCTTCCTCTCTCACAGCTCTCTCCTTCCTTTTCCCACTAAGTTAATAGGACAGAGATATCATAACCTTTTCTCTATTCTTTGATAATTCCTCCCTATTGTTTTCCCTTTTTCTTTCTAGAACTCTCCTATCAGTCACAATTTAAAGGTCCTAAATTGACCTAATGACTCTTTTTACCCAAATTTTCTGTGTCTTTTATTTTGTTCTAGTTTCGGATTTTTAAAATTTTATCTTCCAACTGTTTTTTTTGGCAATTTTATATTTTTAATTTTCAAGAATTTTTTCTACATTTGGTGGTTATTCCCATTTGACAGCATCCCTTTTTATTTTATCGATATGATATTGAAATGTTAGATTGTCTTCTGTTTTTTACAGTTACCTGCTTCCTCTGATAATTTTTTTTTGGCTTAGTTTTTAAAATCTTTCTTGTCTATCCCTTTTTAAGAATAAAGCAACAAACAGTGAAGTGGTAGCTCATTATTTGTGGCCTTGGCTTGTCAACATGAGGCTTCACTTTAGGGTGAATAGGTTGGGAGCCAGCTGTTTTGTTCAGGTATCACTCAGTGCTAGACCTGAGATATCTTGCTCTGGGACACGAGTCTTAGCAATTGCTGTCATACTTCCTCCCAGACAGTTTATCATTATTATTGTTATTATTAACTATTAAGTAGAAGAATTCTTGATGCTGCTGTTACTGCAAATGATAATGGTTATTATTATTATTATTTTGATGTAAGAATGAAAGCTTGGTTATTAAACATTTGGTGTATACACAGGCCAAATCATGGAGGAAAACAAGAGAGGAGTAGCTAGAGTCTCATGTTTCTGATAGGAGGAACAAAAGGGGTCCAAGAAATCACATAAAGGGAGGAACATGATAAAGCAACTTCATAAAGTTGTTTATAAATTTCTGGGCTAATACTTGAGCAATGTATGCATGGATCTGATCCTAATTAGCATAATTTAGAACAGAATTAACCAATAGACCACCGCATATATCCTATACTGACCACTAGGTGGTGCACATGCAGGTATGAACCGAAGACCACTACAAAGGCTCTGAAAAATTAGAACCACTGCCTACAGAAGGCTGTGGAAAATTGAACTTGACTCTAACTAGGTGGATTGTGTGCTGAAACAAAAGTAACAACATTCTCCATAGAATATAAACAAGATCCAGTGTGTCAACATAATATTCCAAATACTGGGAATCCAATTCAGAATTACTTGGTATGTGAAGAACTGAGAAAATTTCAACTTGCATAGAAAAGGACATTAACAGATGCCAACAATGAGCTGACACCCATGTAGGAATTGTGTAATAAAGACTTTAAAGCAAACACAGGTTGAGTATCCTTTATATGAAATACTTTCAGATTTTAGATTTTTTAAGATTTTAGAATATTTGCATTATATTTACTGGTTCAGCATCCCTAATCTGAAATATGAATTCCACAGTGCTCCAATGATCATTTTCTTTGAGTGTAATGTTGATTCTTACAGAATGAGAATATTTTTGTATAGCTGTACAGTGTGTTTTAAGCTAAGTGTTATCAGAGTCAAAATATTAAAAAGTTTATAAAGTAAAAAAGTTACAGTAAGCTAAGGTTAATTATTGAAGAAAGAAAAAATTTTGTTTTTATTTTTATGTATTTATTTTTTGAGATGGAGTTTTGCTCTTATCACCCAGACTGGAGTGCAACAGCAGGATCTTGGCTCACTTCAACCTCCGCCTCCTAGGTTCAAGTAATTCTCCTGCCTCAGCCTCCCAAGTAGCTGGGATTACAGGTGTGTGCCACCACGCCTGGCTAATTTTTGTATTTTTAGTAGAGATGGAGTTTCACCATGTTGACCAGGCTGGTCTTGAACTCCTGACCTAAGGGGATCCACCCGCCTTGGCCTCCCAAAGCACTGGGATTATAGGCATGAGCCATGGTGCCCAGCCAAGAAAGAAACAATTTTAAATATACTGTAGCCTAAGTGTTCAGTGTTGTAAAGTCTCCATTAGTGTACAGTAATATCTTAGGCCTTAACATTCCCTCACCACTCACTCAATTACTCACCCAGAGCAACTTCTGGTCCTGCAAACTCCATTCATGGTAAGTGCCCTATACAGGTGTACTTTTTTTTTTGGTTTTTTATTCTGTATTTCTACTGTACCTTTTCTGTGTTTAGATACACAAATACTTGTCATGCATCATTAGGCAATTTCATTGTCATGCAAACATCATAGAGTGTACTTATACCAAACTAGATGGTACAGCCTACTGCATGCCCAGGCTATATGGTATAGCCTATTGCTCCTATGCTATAAACCTACAGAGCATGTTACCATATGGAATACTATAGGCAGCTATAACACAATGGGCTGGTGGGAAGGAAGAATGTCAAGTAACTGTTTAATGGGTACAGGGTTTTATTTTGGAGTGATGAAAATGTTTTTGAACCAGATAGAGGTGGTAGTTGTACAATATTGTGAAGGTACTAAATGCCGCTGAATTGTTCACTTTAAAATGGTTAATTTTATGTTATGTGAATTTCACCTAAATTTTAAAAAAGATGTAAAAGGATTTGAATGGATGCTTTTTCAAGGAAGATATACAAGTGGTCAATAAACATGTGAAAAATTGCCCCAAATCATTAGTCTTT